GCATCAAGTTCCTTTTTTGGGTATGTCCTGAATCTTCCACCATACTGCTTGTAGTGGCTGGTGCTGGTCCTTTTATTTTGAGTGCAGGAACATATGCCCCTCCATGTGGGAAATGAGAGACATTGACTTTGTCAGAGGTGTGTGTGTGGTTTGGGAGCTGCACGGTCAGGGAAAAAACAACACTGTCCAGGGTTGTAAAGACCGCGGAGAGAATAATTGGGTGCACTCTTCCCACCTTGGATCAAATCTATGCTTCCAGGTGTCATAAGAAAGCTGCAGAGATAGTGCAGGATAGTGCACACCCCGGAAATGATCTCTTTCAGCTTCTGCCTTCTGAAAGAAGGTACAGGGTTATAAAGATGAGGACTAGCTGCCTGAGAAACAGTTTCTATCCAAATGCGCTTCTGGTTTTAAATGCAGTGTAAGGTAGTCTCTATGGAAGTATATTGTATTTAATTATGGGGTATCAGAGTTTTTAGGGGGTTAACCAGGCTGGGATAGCTGGGATAGCAGGTGTGGTGGTTTTTGAATGTCTGGTGTAGATTTTTTCCATTTCATTGTTCTGTATGGGACAATGACAATAAAGATTATTGTATTGTATGGTTGCATGAGTCAAAGCCATCACAAACTGAGCTCCCCACATTTACCAGTAACCTTACCATTCCACCAGACTGCCTCAGTGGGATAGGTAGGAAACAGGGCTCACTCCATCAGCTTTGCTGAAAAAGCAGCTTTATCAGTCACCTCCTACTTCTGAACTGTGCTAGATGCTCATTAAAAGAACTGTTTAGGGATTGGTGCCTGAGTTTGATTTCTCCCCTTCCTTCCCTGCCCCTTTCCCCTTGTGAGCCTTTTTTCTCTCTGATTGTAAGCCCACAGACAGGGACTGTCATGTTTCAATTGATTGAATGTAAGCCTTTTGGCGGACAAGTGAGGTACAAATGCTTAAACCATGGGCAGGCAAACTAAGGCCAGGGGGCCGGATCCGGCCCAATCGCCTTCTAAATCCGGCCCACAGATGGTCCGAAAATCAGCGTGTTTTTATATGAGTAGAATGTGTGCTTTTATTTAAAATGCATCTCTGGGTTATTTGTGGGGCATAGGAATTCATTCATTATTATTTTTTTCAAAATATAGTCCGGGCCCCCACAAGGTCTGAGGGACAGTGGACCGGCCCCCTGCTGAAAAAGTTTGCTCACCTCTGCAAACTAACTAACTAACTAACTAACTAACTAACTAACTAACTAACCTAACTGTCTTTCTGTCCACTGTCTCCACACTATGCGCAATTCTATTTTGTCATGCCACCTGCTTTAAAAACAAACTGCATAGCCCTAAACTCAGAATTCAGGCCAGACTTCGTCTGACAGAAATCAAGAGTTGCCATATGACTCACTTAAGCTGCATTGATCTCAACGGATCTGTACTAAGCATGACTAAATCCAGAACTGGCCCATCATCAGTGTTAATCATCTGAATCAGTGCTTACAAGTCCCTCCAATAAATACACAGCCTTCCTTGGGGACAGCCCAAGGCAATTTGGCACTGGAGGTGAACTGCAAAATGGCGCATCCCCCACCGGGGAAGAAGGGGCAAGTGAAGATCTACATCAGGAACAATTGGGGGGGGGGATAAAGATCTACATTGGAACGAGGGTGGGAGACCAGCAGCACCTCCTATTCACCAGGAGGTTGCTGTAGAGATGGCATTGTGGGATCTGCTTGGGGGGAGTGGCAGTGGCGGCGGCAGCAGCAGCACTCCTTGGAGACCAGATCTTTTGCCCCTGTGGATCCTGCCACCCGAGGCAGTTGCCTCATGGGTGAGCCAGTCCTGGCCTTCCTTGATTTTCAGCTAGCTGCACCCTGAAGTGGCCCAGCCCAGAGTCATCGCCTCTGTGAGAATTAGGCCATTCTTTCCATTGTGCAGTCCCAACGGCGCAGCTGCCAAAATCCAAGTGCAGATTGGTGTAGCCACACGCAAATGCGCTCCAAGCGACCTCTGCTCTCCTTTGTTACCAGTATTGCTTACTGACATGAAAATCTTCTACGCAGCCAGAAAGCTTCGGCATATCTGGGTGACACTGTCATCTCTAATTAACATCAATCAGCCTTTTCCCTTATTAGTCTCGAGCTGCATGGGGCATCTTCAGTGCACATGTCAGTCATCACTGATCAACAAACAAGATCTCTCCTTATAATCTACACCTCTCATTTCCCTTAGGATGCTTCTTAGAGGGGAAAGCTAGGATATAGCATTGGTGGCGGTCATAAAACCGTGATGCAAATATTCATTCTTTTCCGGTGGAGAGAGCTGGTGATCTTGCAGAGACCTTTGTCTCACTGTGGACCGGTGCGGCACGATGGGCTATAGACACAATTTTTTCCCAGTGCCCTCCCTGCTGTTGTGAAGCACTCTGGTACTCTGGGGACTTGCAGGCAAAGAAACAGGCTGGATGATGACAAGAGCGCAGGTGGCATAAATCTCATTCTTGAGGCTGATCGAACACTGGCTAGAGCGCATAATTGCATCTACCATGTGGCAGCAAGGATAGCAAAGGCAGCATACTTTACTGCTTCTATTGTACCCTCAAGTACCCATCTAGGGTAACTCTTCAGGCTGGTTCAGGGCTTACTGTTCCTGTAGGACACACCACTGGACTCCTCAAAGTCCTGTTGTGACATGTTCGCATAGCACTTTGTAGATAAAGCTGCCCATTTTCAAAACAGCCTTGATGCTATATGGCTATGGCAGCTCCTAGCGAGACAGCCACAATAGCTTTAGCTTGTTTTGTGTGGTTAGTTTCAGCGGATGCAGACCAAAGCCACAGGCAAGGTGTCTGCAGTAATGTTCAAACTACCTGTACCCTCAATCCCTGTCCCACATGGCTATTTAAATCTATTAAGCAGGGGATGAACAGAAGGGTCCAGGGTGACAGTTCCTACTGTCTTCAAAGAGGCAGTAGTACAGCCACCCCTAAAGAAGGCCACCGAGGACCCAATGGTTTGTGACAGCAACCAACCATTCACAAATAACCTGCTCTGAGGAAAGGTGACCACAGGAGACAAAGTGACAGAGGACGCATTGACTTAAGACACTGATCTTTGACTAGTGGGCCAAGACCTAGTCACAGATTGCTCTAAGGTGGGTCACAACAGCAACACTATCACTATACAAAATAATAATACATTTTGTTTTATTTTATTATTTACCAACCAACCACCCTATATAGGTCTCAGGGTGGTTCACAGAACAAAATCAAAATTTAAAGCCACAAAATATATAATGAAAATAAAAAAACCCCAGTAACACCCCCCAATGTTTTTTTAAAAGGCACAGCATGTCAATCAAATCAAGCAAAGGCCTGGTTAAAAAGGAACATTTTTGCCTGGTGCCTAAAGGTGTGTAATGAATATTAAGATATCAGTCCCCCAGATGCATGCTTTGCCTTAAAGCTTAGATTGAAGGCTGCTGACTTAAAGGAATCCCTCGCTGGATTAGATCAAAAGGAGTTCAAAGTGGCAAGCTCTTATTCTGTGCAATAGGTATTTCAATTTATAAGGGCAATAGGAATTCTAGAACCACTTACAACACAACAGTGCTAAAATGAAAACATTTGTCTCATCCGTTTTGAAAGATCACTGGAGGATTGGGGGATAAGGCAGCTGCACCTTATGGAAAACAGTATAATCCATATATGCTCATCCTTTACATGAGGGATAGCCAAAGTGGTGACTTCCATTTGCTACGGGACTACAACTCCCATCATGCCTTCCCATTGGCCATTCTGGCAGGGGCTGGTGGGAGTTGCAGTTCAGTACCTGGCAGGTACCACATTGGCTAGCCCTGCCCTCCCTCTTCTCCTGCAGCTCAACATGTTGCAACTTCTGCTTTACAGCTGTGTTTGCTCCCTGTACAAAAAACTGGATGGTAGGTGCCTGCGAAAGTGACTCAGACACTGAAAGTGGTGGGAGCTCTTTAATTTACAGACACAACACTACTTCTATTACTGAGTGAGCCATGCCACGTGATTCGGTGCACACTATACTGAAAAGATGAGAACATCCAGTTTTGGGTTAGTGAAGATCTTTCAGAAACATTAGTCTCATTGACCCCCCGTTTTATCCCAATAAGAATCAACCTGCAAATCTTAGAAGCTTGGGTCCTGGGATGTATATGGATTCATAAAAAGCCAGCTTCCATCCCACCCTCAATATAGAAATAGGCCAATCTGGTTTGTAAGCCACAATCAAGTATAGACTAAGCCAGATTTCTCCTTTGTCACCTACAAGCTGTTGGGATGAACAATTCCCATTTTAATACACTGAAGAGTTCTTACACCCAAATTACGCAGATGTTTTCAAACACTTTAGCCTCCATTAACCTGAGACTCTTCTTTTCTGTTTGTGATTTTGGCAGCAAATTGGCAAAACGGCTGCTTTTCTGCTTTGCCACACTACCAACCACACATTTATATACATATTTATTCTCTCATAGGAATAGCAAATTCTGTGCTTTCCAGAAACCCTTGAGAATTTGTAAAGACGTTTCCTACCCTTAAAAGCAATGGAAGAAACAGACTATCATTTTGCCAACTAGAACAGATTCGCTGAATGACACCCTGTGAAGATCCACAAAGAAGGTATGTGCTGAAACAATACTTTCTGGAAAACAATTCTGGAAGCCACCCAGAGTGGCTGGAGAAGCCCAGCCAGATGGGTGGGGGATAAATAAATTATTATTATTATTACTTGACCATCATCCCAGTACATCAATGGAACATTATTAAAAGAAAGTAGAATATCATCTGTGGGGCATCATTGCCGCCTGTGAAATTAAATTTTATACTATTGCTTATTTAGTTGTCCATTTTCTTTTCTTTTTTGCCCTTTGTGTGATGTTCTCTCCCCCCTGCCCTCTGCCCCGCTTCTATGTAGCTTAAACACTACTGAATAATGGCAAAAAGTATACATAGCAATAAATTCCATCGACACACAGTTTTTGCAAAGTATTCTATTTATTTTCTGTATAAAAATGACAAGCAAACCTGGAGGGAAACATGAAATATTAAACGCTCCACATTTTACAAGTGTCAAATGATTTCAATAACAAGCCGAAAGCACATTGTACAGGGAAAAATAAGAAATCTGTATGTCCATCTCAAAAATCTTAATGTTTCGAAACCAGAAGCCTTTTTAATATTCTGCATAACATGGTCAAGAATTCAAGGAGGGATCCTCTAAAACACAGGTGGTTAATATTTAACTCTGTACATGAAAGGGCATTTTCTGAAGTCTCTTCATCTTCCAAGACTTTGTGCAGAAAGATCTAACTTGGCCAGAAGCAATCCAGTTCCACACATCCAAGATGACAACGGTGCTGGCTCTCTTCCTCACTGGATCTCCCCCATATACAGCCTTTTGTCACTAGATGCAGAAAGTACTAATGGGAAGAAATACAAACACATTTGAAGAAAATGTGAAGGATCAGTTTTGACCATCTTATTCCACCCCTCTTGTACTTCCAGTATTGCTTGATAACTAAATTGACTCTCACACGCATGCCTCAACGTGTATGCTCCGACCAGAATGGCCCAATTTTTCTAAAATGCAGAGTTTGCATCTTTCATCTCCTACTAAAGTTCAGGCAGCTACATAATTCTAACAGTAGCAATGTTATGACTTCCTCTGCAAAACAAAATGCTAGAAACTGTCAATACTAGAAAGTAGCCACAAGAGGGTGCAGCCTCTCAAGAATCTTTTTCATCAACGAAACAGAGAAGGGATGAGAAGTCTGTGGCCCTCCTTGCGCTGTTGAGCTCAGACTCCCATTGGCCCCAGGCAGCATGGACAATGGTCAGGAATAATTGGAGTTGCAGCCCAACAACATTTGAAGGGCCACACAGCACTATTATGGCACCAGTAACAAATTCTGAGGTCAAGCATGAGAAAGAATAAGTAGATCTCTTCCAGCTTGATGTTTGCCTGCTCCCATCTTAAAATTTATGTCACCCCGTTAAGGGGCTGAAAGTTCTCTGGAGAGGACAGATCCAACCTACTGGAGTTCAACTAAATCCCCCCCCCCCAAAGTATGTTATATTTCTGTTTGTGTTTTGTAGAATTACTATACCAAGACAACCCAAAAGAACAGGGCAGGGAGGGAAAGAAAGAAAGAGAGAAAGAAAGAAAGAGACTCTCTGTGCTGGCTAACAGATTCTCTTTACGATCATGAATTCACAGAAGTCATGTTCCTTAATTAAAAGCACCCACTTCCAGGCTTCCTGGCAATTCAAAGAGAACTTACTAATTGGCTCCTCTGGATGAAAAGCCACTTCATTTATTGAACCAGCATGGCCTGGCAGCTTGTAGAGAATTCTTCTGGAGGTCGTATCCCACACATAAACAAACCTGTAATGAGAAGAAACATGAGTAAGAGCCTCCCAATGGAATGAACTAAAAATAAAAGAGCAACTCTGTTTTGACCCAGTTACTCAATATTTCAAGATCTCTTATAGCTATGAGCGGCTGTGTTTACTAGAGACTACCCAGGAAGCCCTTTTGCTGTACCTGGATCTGGTATCAGCCTGTCATATTACTGTAGAAAGAAAACCTGTTGCCTGCATGACCTTAGTTTGACACCACCTGCTGCTGGTTTTAAGTTAGTAAAAGAAAACCTAGCTAATTGATAGATATCTTGAATTTGGAGATGCAAGTCACTGAGTCTGAATGTAGCATTGCACGTTCAGGTGAACAGATGTATTCACTTAATGATCTACAACCTGAAGACTGTTACTCATTTCATGACTCATGAAGCAAAACTACTGCATAATTTGAAAAACCAGCTTGCTTGCTTGCTTTAGTGATATCATGGGATATATATTTCTGTAAAAAACTAATATTGCATCACTGTCTGACTCAGTACTGTGGATAAAGTAACACTGCTTATTTCTAATATCTGAAGTCTGTCTGTATACAGTAAGCCTGTAACTTATTTTTAACTGGTGTGCATTCAGCTTCATTATTTGTCTTCAGTACTTAATCTTCCACAAAAACTATGTGCTGCTGCATTTGACAGCCTCGAACCTTAAGACTATAGGCAAACACGTCTTTTCATTTGCAATGGAAAGTTGCAATTTACAGTTCACAAAAGTTCACTAAAATGCAATGTCAAATCTTTCAGAACTTCATTTCTGATCATCTGCTGCTTTAGCAAACAATGCTGTCCTGTAACTTACAAAAGCATCTCTAGTCACAAGGTGTTTTTTCTGAGCATCTGAAAAATTCCAGTAATTTGCTAATAATGCTTTATGAAAATCTGCCCCTCGGATCTTTGCACAATAAATATGATGCATTATATTTTCTATTACATTCTGGCAACAGACACAAAACGCTCATGATGTGGAATATTTTTGTTTCCCATCCAAGTATGTTGTAAGATATGGTTTGAGTGTACTCAAATGAGAATATGTCTTCTCCAAAAGGGGTGAGCAATTTCAAACAGAATATAGGTACTCTGGAAGACAATAATGGGCTTTTTAAGTGACAAGAAGTGAGGAATACTACTCTGTGAGTGACATATGAACCAAACTTAAATGGCTCACTAAGGCGATGGCTGAGCAGTCCTAGATAAGGACTTTGGTCACAATCCTATGCACAGTTAGTTAGAAGCAAGATACATTGAACCCAGAGGGGATTACTTCCAAGTAGCCATGCACTGGCTGCTATTTGACCTAGAAATACAGATGTCACAAGACTTGTTTGTGTTTGCTGCAGCAGATGAACACAGTTACTCCTTCAGAAACCTTATGTTGATATGCATGGGAGGCTCAAGACGCAAGATTTAACAAGTTGACTCTTCAGTGCTAATCCTAACACCCTGCACTCAGATTCCTTCTGTGACTTCAGCCAGTTAAGCTCTCAAAGCTATTGGGTATTAAAAACTGGTTAAATAGCTACTGCCTCAAAAATGTTTCACTGCCTTTCAGTTCTTTCATCATTTGAACCTTGCAGTACGGGGACTGGAGATGAGAGACTTATGCTGCAGAAAGCCTGATAACCGAAACTTTCTAAAATTCAGTGCCCCCAACTTTAAGAAGTTGCCATTCTGAACTGAATTATGACCTTGTTATGGTCTGATTCATCAAATCCATTAAGTATTTTCCAATGTGTCTGCACTGTTCCCTCTCATCTTGCTTTGGTTGTGTCAACTTTGATGCACATGGCAAAGGAACACAGAAGTATTTAATGCGCTTGCTTAGTGCCATCAGTGAGTCTCCAAAGAAAAGCCCAGCTTTTAAGCATATCACAAAACAGGGAAAGAAATTTTGTAACACCCCATAAGAGAGGAACTAATGCTCAAAATTCAAGGATTTTACTACAAATTGCATTATGATACATACTGAATATTAGTGATGCTGAAAGACCAGTTTTTCAGTAGTTATGACTTTCACCAGAAAACAAGATGGAGACCTGTCCTGTTTGTAGCTGGAATTCATATCCTTTACTAAGTTGTAAAGGTGCCCTCAGCAACATATTGTAAGCAACACAAAAGAGCAGCATAGCCCTCCTACCATAATTACTACCTTCCAGATACACCCCCCTTCTTCCCCCTTTATAAGATCACCAGATACATAAGCCACTGCTCATCACCAATCCATCAACATGGACTGAAATAAGTTAACCAGCAGTTAATGTACTATATTTAGAAAGCTGTCTCACTTACTCTGGCACCAACATTTGCACAGGAGGTGGGGAAGGAAAGCATGATCGCAAAGCAACTGGCTGGACTGAGCAGGCCAAGGTGTCCTTGAGTTAGGAAATGTCACTATGTACATCAAAAGAACATATACTGCATATATTTTCAAGGACTGCAGAGAGCACTGCTTGAACTGTTAAAGCCAAGTACTTTTCACCCCTTTCATGCCCACCCCCCCACCCCAGTTCATTATGACTAATAGAAAAGATTCTGCTATTAAGCTTCCTTTCCTAGAGATGAACAAGTCTCAGAAGAACAGTTTGGTTAGATATCTAGATTACATAGCCAATAAAAACTTATGTGTTGAGTAGGTCTCTAGAACAGTGTTTTCAAACTGATGAAACAGAGAAGCCCCCTTCAAACATGCACACACTCCCAGTCAAATATCCAATAATTATTCTACATGGAACACACTGAGTGCAACCAGATACCTTCTAGGGTTTAGAATGTTGCTTTCTGTGACTTTATGTTCTTCTCACAACCTAGACCACAGTGTCATAGAGTTGGAAAGGACCACGAGGGTGAGTTAGTTCGACCCCCTGCAATGTAGGAATCTTTTGCCCAACATGGGGCTTGAGTACACAACTCTGTGATTAAGAGTCTTATGTTCTACCGACTGAGCTATCCCAGGCTAAAGAACAGATTCCATTCCTTTCAAGTAGTAACGTGCTACTGCAACACACCTATAAGGCGATACCAGTCTGTCTCCGAGCACAATGGAGAGTGTGAGTGTTAAAGTCCCATGCAGCTTGGTACCTAGAGCACTGGTTTTCAGATGAAAATAGAGGGCTTTACCTGTCTGCAGATCCAGCAGCTATTTTACTTCCATCTGGTGACCAGGAGCATCGCAGGAGATTCTAAAGAACAAGAAAACTTAGTAGCACAATTCCAGGCATACCTTCATTTCCCCGATTCTTTTTGAAATAAAAACTCGCCAAGGCTTTAAGACATTAACACCACTGCAGTAATAATGGCTTGCCTTTGGAAGCTTAGTCTGCAGATATATATTGTACTTTATTGCCAGAAATACACAGTATCTTGTTATCTTATGTGAAATAGATTGTGAATGTCAAGATACTAAAATTTATAGGCCATTACAGCTGCACTTGGGGGTTAAAAAAAACCTTGTTGCAGCGGCTTTAATTGGAATTTCTTCTCACACATTAATCTTGAGCACAGACCTTGTTAAGAGGTTTGTGGCAATCTGAAATTTTAAAAGCCATTTACTTATGAATTAATTCTTAGCTGCCATCCATAAACAAGGAGCATTTCAACCAGCACAGAACTCACCTTCTCAAAATTATGTACATTCCCTTGGAGGATCTTTACACATCTCTCTTTAGGGGCAAAGGGCCGAACATCCCAGATACGAACTAGAACAGAGCCCATACAAGCAGTTAAGAACCGTAGTAACAAGTTGAGTATTATTCCACAATATCGCAGATTTGACGGTAAGTAAGCTGATAGGTTTAAAGACATAAGGAATGATCTGCTCGATCTGACCAGAGAGCCATCTAGTTCAGTATTTTGTTTCCCACACTGGTTAAACAGATGCCTCTGGGAAGGGCAAAAACAGAGGATGACAACAAGCACACAGCAGCACGATGTTTTTGAACATGCAGGGTCCATATAGCTATTGGTAGTATTTAGGTAAAGGGACCCCTGACCATTAGGTCCAGTTGTGGCAGACTCTGGGGTTGTGAGGCTCATCTCGCTTTATTGGCCAAGGGAGCTGGCGTAAAGCTTCCGCGTCATGTGGCCAGCATGACTTAGCCATTTCTGGCGAACCAGAGCAGCGCATGGAAACGCCATTTACCTTGCCGCTGGAGCGGTACCTATTTATCTACTTGCACTTCGTGCTTTGAAACTGCTAGGTGGGCAGGAGCAGGGACCGAGCAACGGGAGCTCAGCCTGTCACGGGGATTCGAACCGCCTACCTTCTGATCGGCAAGCCCTAGGCTCTGTGGTTTAACCCACAACACCACCTGCGTCCTCTTGGCAGTATTTACCCACCCCAAAATTTGTCAAAATTCCATTTAAAGCCATCTAAAGTCAGTGGTGGTTACCACATCCTGGGGCAGTGAATTCCATACTTTACTTATGCATCATGTGAATAAATATTTCATTTGTCCAGAATTTACTGGCCATCACTTCCATTGGGCAAGCCCAAGTTCTAGCATGGTGAGTTCAAGAGAAGCTGCTTTCATTATACACTCCCATCTAAAAGCTACACAGTCTCAAAAATTCCAGCCATTTTTCACAGGGAAGGTGCTCCAACCACTCAATCATTTTGGGTTACTCTCCCCCCCCCCCAACTTTCCCAGACCTGTAACAACCTTTTTGAGATGGCAGCAACCACAACTGCAGACAGAATTCAGGTATAGCTAGCTAGAGCATGGTTTCAGCCACTGACAAGCAGCCTCTAGATGGTGACATGGCTACAACTTCACACACACAGTGAAGCCTTCAGTGTTGATTGACTGAACTGGTGTAGTGGCAGGGAACATTCAACTGCGCAGGGAACAGAGGGAACATTTTTGCCGTCTAGCTTTTAGTGAGGGAAGGGGTGAAACTTCAATTTGACTGAGATTGTCATTTCACAGAGTTGGGCTGAGGATGTTGTGCCAGGGTGTAGGGAACCTAAGGGTCAGGCAAGCTAGAGACAAGGAATCTGAAGGATGGACCAAGAAAGAAGGACTTGAAGGAATGGTAGGTGGATTGAGGAAAAACGTAGTCATCAAAGAATTTGTTAATCAGAGAAGCAACTAAAAAAACCCGCTGTGGTGCTTAATGGAGGGGTGCAGAACCTCCAGGTGTTTAAACTCTCACAACCTCTGACCACTGACCATGCTGACAGCATCTGAAGGGCTGCAGGTTCTCCAACCCCAAGTTAAGATCAGGAAAACAGTATGCTATGATGAATGCGGGAGGGAGACAAAAGTCCTACAGAAGCTTGTCTAGAGATGAAAGTTAAAGGAAGTCAGTGTCAAGTCTGCATTTTGACAAGAGAATCTGCCAATTGTGGCTTCTTCTATCATTGTAGCAGTGTGCCCTGGCGGCCCTAATGGGACACAAAGCAGGCTTCTGGCAATAATAAATCGCATCACACTTCACTTATAGTTTTGGCAACTACCCAAAGTCTTGGTGCATTTTAGGAGACATTTCCAAGTTCTGACATACTGGCTGCAAACTAGTAAAGACTAGGAGTAGTATGGTTGGTTACATGTTCCTTAATGCTTAATTTTCCAACAGAAACAGTTACCTGTATTGTCCATGGCATTAGAAAGCAAGTAAGAGCCTTCTGAACTCAGACTGAGACCTGTGACAGAATCAGCATGTCCTCTCATCGTGTAAGTTAGCTTGTTCTGACGAAGGTCCCATACCTTTAAGGATATATGAGCAGATATATGGTGTCACATACACATACATACACACAAAGAGAGGTCTTTAAAGTAGTTAGCTCTATATATGTTGAAGCTTTTAAGTGAAGTTGCAAAATGAGGAGCAGAGCCCAAAAAATTCATGGTGATTTATTTATTTGTGATATAGTCTCTTAGACTTCCAGTGTCCTTGCAAGACAAATAACCTATGCCAGGTCTTGAAAGACAGAAATCCCAGCATATGTTGACAAATTGCCCTTTTAAAGGGAAGGGACAGCCCATAACAATTAATTAATGGGTCTCCTGTTTCTGATACGAGGCCTTTCAGGTCTCACTGTGTGCCATCTTCCTGGCACAGGGAGAGCTGGCACTGCCTACTCGTCTTCACAGTAGAACCTTATTCCCACCACCCGAGAGAATTAGAAGCTAACACTGTTGTTCTGTTTCTTCCTTGCTCCTTCTGGAGGTGGCTAAGTGTTCTAAGGAGAGAAGAGAAGGGTCTGGAGCAATGCAAAACTTAAAACTCGTTTGAAACTAGTTTATTTTTCAAGTGTAGATATGCCCTTTGTCCAAGTTATAAATATGGAATCTAAGGAAGGTTCAGTTCAACAAACAGCTTACCTTGATATCATTGTCTATGCCTCCAGATATTATCTGATCACTGGTATCATTGAAGGTGACTGCTAACACCTGATATGTATTTTGAAATGTTTGAACAGCAGCTTTTTTCCTGATGTCCCATAACTGGAAGTGAAAGCAAACAAGATAGACATTCATAACCCACCCTTCACCACAGGGTCCAAAAATAGCTCAATACAACTAAGCCATGAAAGGTCTCGTAATCCTGAAGGCCTGTGCACAAAAGGTGCACCCTGATTCAACATTAAAAAGTACTTACTGACAAGGGCAGCTGTCCCTGGGAGGGGATGGCATTCAACGAACTGGGAGTCAACACAGAAAAGGCTGTCTCACACACTGCTGCCCCATGAACTTCACATAGTGTCAGAACTGAGAGCAGGGCCTCCTCCGCAGATCTTTTTAAAAGTCTACATGGGAGGAGGTGGTTCTTCATATATTTGGGAGCCAAGTCTTTTAGGGCTTTGTAAATGGCGGCACCTAGAATTGGGCTCAGAAGCACAATGGCAACTGTAAAAAGCTATTTAAGAACTTGTGTCCTGTCAGTCGTGCCCACAAGCACCTTGGCCTGTGCACCAGTTGCAGCTTCTGAACAGTCTCCAAGAGAAGGCCCACATAAAGCACAGTGTAATAGTCCAGACTTGAGGTTTCCAGAGCATAGATTGGTGCGATTATCATGCTCACATTAAGAATGAGTATCTTCAAAATGATAAGTCTACAAGTGTAGGTTTTCACAGAAGCTGGAACCGGGTTTACATTTGACTAGTTGATATTGGTGGAAAGAAAATAACAACTCCGTATCCAAAAAGAATGTACCTCTTTAACAGAACTCTTTACTCAGCAAGCAGCACCTAACAAGACAACTGCTTACTGATCACATAAACCCACACTAGTATTTACTATTTACATCGCAAGATGACAATTATCCATACTAACCTTTACTGTCCCGTCATCACTGCCTGTACAGACCAGCTGAGGTCCACGTCTTGCTGGGTAACAGGAGTTCACAAATGATGTGTGACCTTTGAGTCTTTTCACCCTCTCTCCTGTCTCACTATCCCACACTGCTACAGTTTTATCGGTGGACGCAGAGAATAGCATGCTAGGAGAAAATGAAGTGCTGATGAAGTGCTGAAAAGCAGCATTTCACATGTAATAAAAGGTATTCAACATTCAAAAAAATGACCCTTAGGTAAAAGACAGTTAGAAGTGACCGCAAAAAGCAAAAGACACCTACTACTAGCTGTCAAGCATTTTGCCCAGAATGCCAGCCTTCTGATGGAGGGGGAAAGGGAAGGCAAACATCCTCTTTTGGTCACTGCTTAGTGACAAAATCCAGTTATCCCAAAGGGTTTCCAAATATGCAGTACAATGGAACCTCGCGAACGTAATCCATTCTAGAAGACCGTTCGAGTTCCGAAACATCTGAAAACCAAGAACTCACTACAGAAGCCTCAGTTCAATTGAGAAAATTGAAAAGCAAGCAACAGAAGCCATTTGACTTCCGAGGCGCGTTCGAAAATGGAAACATTTACTTCCAGGTTTTTGGCATTCCGAAACATTTGGCTTCCAAGACATTCAAAAACTGAGGTTCCACTATATACAACTATCGCAGAATCTTTATTTAATTGAAACATTTTTACTGTTGCTCTTTACCTAAAAATGCTCTCAGAACTGCTTACAAAAACAAATAGAGAAAAATCAGTAACTGTAAAAATAGGTGGTGTGTAAGTTACAAAATCTTGTATAAATCCCTAGGTGTAAGTAAATCGCCATTGTGAATAACCTTGTTCTGCCAGGCAGGCATGCACCACTCCAGTCCCCAAAGGCTTTTACCACTATTGGCATGTTGCTCCAGGATCTGTTTGGCAGAAATCAGGAAAAGCAGCAGGAAATAGTGGAAGAGATTGAATGGCTACAATGTGATGGTGCCTACCTGCCTGCATTCCTATCCAATTTTTCTCCCTCAAATCATAGGGTTGTATTCAGTGCCCGTCCTACTCACAGTAGACCCACTTAAGTTAACCCACATGACTAAATAAGGTTCATTAATTTCCGTGAACCTCCTCCAAATAGAACTTAGCTGGATATAACCCATAGGAAGTTCATTTCTTGCACATGCTTTCAGAATTTGTTCTGAAATATTTTGACATATTAAAAAGAAAATCACCATGTGACTAGAACCAACAAGCAGCAAAATATAAGTACCCAAGCTTCAGTAATATACTCCAAATGACAAAAAGTCATTGCTAATCAATTAAACAACAGATAAAAATATCCACAACAAGAATTATATATGTACTAACCTGCCATCAGTGTTATAATGTAGTTCCATAACAGCTCCACTATGTCCTTTCAGAGTGGCATAATTATCACAGTCCCCATACACGTTCCATAACACTAGAATCAATGCAAGATCAAGATTAAATACTGAAGTCATGTTGGCATTTCCAAGTGATAAATCCTCTTAATGAATCAGATGCACTTTTCAGATCTAATGCTTAGCCTTCAAGTAGGTATAACTTCCAGAAACAGATGGTGGGTGGTGGTTGCTTTTAAGAAAAGAGCATCATTTTTTACCTGGGGAAAACTCTTCTATACCTAACAAAGGCAGTGAGAGAAAATATTCACAATCACTTCAAAGAAACTGTATTGCAGTATGTAAGCACACGAAAATGTCTGTGGTTCATCATGAATGCAAGATCAGATTCTTTTCAATTTAAAATGTTGATCTTCACACTATGTGTGTACTTTTGAGTTCACAAGTAAACCTTAGTAGATACTAGCATGCTAGTACAATGTGGTCTATGTGTTTTTTAAAAAGCTACCATCCTACTGAGTAACAGATGAAAAGAACAGATGCTCTCATCTGGCTTACTGTTGCATCCTATGTGAACATCATGGTTTGTTTCACTTCCCAGGATTCTTGGTTCAAATTAACTGAGGTAGGGATTGTGATTTTTGCTCCCACTAGAATTAGAGGAGAAACAAACCAGGGGTTGTTTGAGCAACCATGGCAAACCATTGTTTATCATAGCATGTAAACTGGGTCAGGTATTCTTAATATTAATTTAAACTAGGGTTGCAACCTGTAACTGATTATGGACCTTTCATTAAAGCATCTATAATTAATTACTTTTCCTTATAAAACTACTGATGGCTTTTCTAGCGGATAATATCTCTTAAGATTCCCATTGTGGCGACTTCTACTCAGCCAGAGTCATCAACCTTTATGGCCTGTGGGCACCCAAGAAACTGTCATTGGCACCATGCACAGCAGACAACGACACACACATGCGTCGTCACTCCACCCCAGCCAGCAATTAGGCTTTAAAATGCCCTAATTAGTGAAGGGTGTGTAGAATTCCTGACAAGTCCAGCTGGGGAGGCAAGAGTTAACCTTCCATCCCCAGCTGCAATCTCCAGGAAGATTCCCCACCGCTATTTATTAATTATTATTATTATTATTATTATTATTATTATTATTATTAAAATCTGCATACTGCCCTTCATTCATAGATCTCAAGATGGTTCACAGCATAAAAACACAAGATAAAAACACAAAATACATAATAAAAACAAAACAAAACAATAACTCCCACTTCCCCTCATGCTTGGGGGTCACATAACTAGCTAGCATGCTGCAGTCTTATTTGTTATCAGAATTAACCAGACAAATTGCTCCACCAACTATGAACTGCCATACACCACCACTATCATGGAGCCAATTGAAAGCTTTTTCTAAAACCTATTTATCAAGCAGCAATTTGGGGGAAGGGTGTCGCAGCTGGGGGAGAAGGATTGACCCTGACCTTCCCAGTCATGATCCCAATATCACTTCTCCCTAGTTGCAATTAGGCAGGGGTAAGACTATTGGCTACAATAGAAGGTTTCATTCAATGCAAATATGAGGAGAGTGAAGTGTGGGACTCCATTGCACTCACAAGCACCATGCGGGTGACCCATCACATACACCATTAAAACTTTGGTATTAGTCATACATAAGTTTACTTTTAATTAATTAAATTAGCTTACTTTGGTTGATTTACTGTTATGTGTCCTTGGTTAATTTAATATGCTTTATGCGTTTCTTTTAAAAAAGCACACAACTAACCCAATTAGTTTTAAGCAAACAAATTGTATTTAGAAGTTTATAACGTAGACTTACATATCAACCTGTCGAATCCAGCTGATGCTAAGGTGGCTCCATTAGGATGAAACTTACAACAGTAAACTTCTCCTTCATGCCCCGAAAGCAACATTATAGGTGCCTGGAGAGAGGAACATCTTGGGGGGCCCTGAAATATGAAAAAATGCAGAATACCCAACAAGCTATAAGAGAGTCTGCATCCAAATGCAGAAAAGAAGACTATTACTCATAAACCAGTGATGAGGAACCTGTAGCACACAAGATGTTGGACCCCAACAGCCTCAGCAAACATGGCTAATGATCTGAGATGATAAGAATTATAGTCCGATATCATCTGGAGGGCAACTGGCTCTCCATCCCTGATCTAATGTCTTGTGGCAAAGGTAAGCACTTCCACCAGTCTGAAAACATGACAATTTAGCCCTGAAGATTAATTCTAAAAGCTGTAACACAAACCACTTACAGTTTCAACAAGTGCATTAAAATACCCTAACCTTGTTCCGTTCAGATGTTTTGGACAATAGCACTCTTCAATGCTAACCACTGAGCAGGCTAGTTGGGGCTGATGGGAATTGTAGTGTAATATCTGGAGGGCCTTGCAAGGATTATCCCTGGATTTTGGTATAAAAATGACTGGCAATTGGCTACCACTGAGAAAATAACTTCTAAATTACGAAAAGAACAGAAAAACAAATTTTATGTAACATGGTGGTCATTTATTCAATATATAAATAAAACTGTCCTTAAAGATAAAGCATCGTTGAAGACATGGCTATCCTGAACAGTATGGCTTGCACTACATTCTTCTCTGGAATGACTCTTTGTGATTGATAAAACAAATTTTGTATTGGGGCATTATAGGCTGGCTATTTGGATATCTTGTGCTGACTAATAATAATTATTTATGATAATGTACAACCTAACACCTCTTATGGGGGTGGTGATGTTATATATTTGTTAGAATGTCCAAAACACCAATAAAAATATTTAATAAAAAACAACAACAACCCAGGAGTGTGTTGGGGAAGGCTGGTCTAACTGATCACCCAGGTGAAATAAAAAATCAGTAACTAATGCAAACTAATTATAGTCACTGGGTGCTCAATGGTCATTCTCGCAGCCATGTGTGCTATTAAAATACTGAGCTAGAGGAACCCATAGACTCAGCATAAGACAGCTTTCTATATCTGTTACTCTAAACACTAAGCACAGTTACAGAACCACAACGATGGCAATGAAAAGCTATTTTGACCACTCATTCAAAACGATGTAGTTCTGTGTAACAGAATGGACCTTTCCCTTTAACAACTACCTCCACTGCTTATTCTCCTCTTTTCAGAATGCTAGCCCCTCAAGACTCCCCCATTAGTTCACACAATACACACACACACGTGTTTCTGAGACTAGTGCGGTGCAGCAGTTGGTATGTTGGACTGTAACAGACTTTCAGTGTTCGGACTATAACACTGCCAGACATTGTTGGACCACCATCATTCCTGGACAACTGGTCTCTCTAGCCAGGGATTATGGGAGTTGTAGTCCAACCATACCTGGCGACCCCCAGGTTGAGAAATGTGGACTATATACCATGTGCACCTGGACTACTTCTGGGTGGCGTAGTGGTTAGAGTGCTGAAGGGAAAAAACGCGATATAAACGCAATAAACAAACAAACGGACAGGGAATCGCGAGGCCGTCCAGAGGTCGCACCGCATCTCCCGTCATCCCTAACCGTGGGCTACGCTGGCAAGGGCTGCTGGGAGTTGTAGTCCCACAGCATTTAAGCTGCCTCAGGGTTCCCCGTCTCCGCTTTAAGGCCTCACTCGCTATAACGGCGAGGTAATAATGCATATTAAAAGAGAGCGGTTGGGCGCGCGGCCTCCGCTCCTCAGGGCACTCACCGCCTGCAACAAGGCGCCCGGGGGCGGCTGCCCAGCGCCAGGCCCCGGCCCCAGGATAAGCTCGTGGCGGGGCTTCTTAGCCCCGGACGCCGTCGCTACCAGAGCCATATCCGGGCCGGGCGCTTTCCGTTTCTGCGGGTCGATCATCGTGCTCCTTCGTCGAAAAGGTCTCGATTCCCCTCAAGGCCTCAAAGGCGCGTCAAATTGAGGGGAAACTGACGCCTCCCCGTTCCGATTGGCGGCTCCCTACCAAGGCCCCGCCCCCTCCGCGACGTCTCATTCGCGGACGCTACCCTTCCTCCTCGCGGCTGCTCTCGCGCCGCTTCAGCACGGAGCCTGGCCCTGATTGGTGGAGCCGGCGCAGACGTTAGACCTCGCGTGGCCGGCGCTGGAGAGGAGAGGCGGAGCGGGACGGGTAAAGGAGACGGCGGTTGCTGTGGGGATTTTCGTTGTCTCCCGAAGGTGGTAAGTCGGTGGGAGAAGGAGGAGAGGGAGGAAGGGCTGCAGGGATGGGAGAGAGTTCGGGCCTTCACTCCACGTAGGCCCCACTGTCTTCAATGGGCATTGCACGCAGGTAACTGGGTGGAGGTAGAGGAGGCGGCCTTCCAAAATAAATCAACTCGGATCATTTTTTTCCTTGGTGGAGTCGAGATTCCTGTTCAGATCCGGCGAGTTACTTACATGGCCTCTGGGATCCCAAAATCATTGAGGAGAAAGTGATAGTTCACAGTGTCCACCCATACAAGACCATTCAACAATAATCGGTTGAGGCAATCTCTCCTAATAAACATTTATTATAATGACACCACGCAGGAGGAACGTCTGGGAATGGGAGGTTTCCCTCCCATTACAGAACAGCTACAGAAATTATTATTTTTAGCTGACAAATATTTGTAAACATCCAGCGTTTGAATTCTAGGGGTGGTGAAGATGCATTTCAAACTGCACAAAGAATGTAACTAAGGACCACAGTGTGTAATGGTAACTTTATTATTTATACCCCTCCCATCTGGCTGGGTTTCCCCAGTCACTCTGGGCGGCTTACAGCATGTCTGAAAGCATAATGAAAACATCAAGCATTAAAAACCTCCCGATACAGGGCTGCCTTCAGATGTCTTCTAAAAGTTGAGCAATTCTTTTATCCCCTTGACAGTTCAACAGGGAGGGCATCACTACCGAGAAGTCCCCCTCTGCCTGGTTCCCTGTAACTTCTCTTTTCGCAGTAAGGGAACCAGCAGAAGGACCTCAGGGCTGAGCGATGGGGGTGGAGACGCTTCTTCTGGGCTGAGGCCATTTAGACTCAGAAATGTACCCTGTAAAAGGAACAGGGTTTCCACATGGTTAAATTTGGGATTTTGTGAACTATTGAGCATTTTAGGTACAGTGGTACCTTGGTTTACAAACTTAATCCGTTCCAGAAATCTGTTCTTTAACAAAAGCGTTCTTAAACCAAGGCGTGCTTTCCCATAGCAGCGGGGGACTCGATTTACAAATGGAACACACTCAACAGGAAGCGGAACATGTTCTGCTTCCAAGGCAAAGTTCACAAACCCAAACACCTACTTCTGGGTTTGCAGCATTCTTAATCCAAGTTGGTCATAAACTAAGCTGTTCTTAAACCAAGGTACCACTGTACAGTGGTACCTCTGGATACGAACTGGATCCGTTCCGGAGCCCTGTTCGCATCCAGAAACAAACGCAACTCGCGTGCGCGGGTCACGATTTGCCGCTTCTGTGCATGTGCGTGACATCATTTTGACCATCTGCACATGCGCGATGGGTGAAACCCGGAAGTAACGCATTCCGTTATTTCCGGGTCGCCGCGGAGTGCAACCCGAAAGCGCTCAACCAGAAGCAACTTCAACCCGAGGTATGACTGTACTAGGGTGTCGCTAATAATGAGTGAAGGAGAAGCACTTTAAAACATCTGGGTACTGCCTAAATAATTTAGAAATTAGTATATGAGTGAGTGTCTTTGATTGCATTTCAGCAAAAGAGATTTATGCTTCCAAGGGATAACGAAAAATCTGGCCAGGAGATTTGTGGGAACTTCTCATAATTTAAGGCAATGGAAGTAATTCCAGAACTCTATGATATTTTCCAAGGAGAGGTATGTGCTAAAACTGTTACTTTTCAGAATGTAATGAGCTTTGAAATATTTGTGTCTGCATCAGATTGAACTATTTAAATTGTCTTATGGACACAGCCCAGATTTAAAATATATTCAGAACAAATGTTTGAAAAAAGTAAGAATATCAAATGACCCATGTTTAGCATTATTTGCGTATATTAAAGGATTAGATGTGCAAGAAGGTCAGAAAGTTATCATTCATCTCTCAACTGTAGCCCAAATGACTAGCAGAAACATGGTAAAAGCAGAAGACCCCGAAATAGCAAGACTGGCTAATTAAACATTGCCCAAATAGTTAAATTAACTAATATCATTAAAGTAAGGCAGATGGGACAGCAGGAAATAATGTTATTGAAAAGTTGAGCTTTTATATAGCTTATTAGAATGAAAAAGCTAATGAAATAATGAAGCATCATGTGCTTTTGAGCAAAATATAATACCATAATGAAAAGCTATATGTTCCTGGCAGAAAAATAAATGCTATTTAATATAGGCAAATATTATTGAAATTGATTGTTAAATATTGAGATATGATATAACCATACACATGATTAAATTGACTTTGGGGAAGGGAGAATATTATTACTAATAATGAAAGTAAGGATAGTAAAAAATGATAGTAGATAAATGCATGCAAATTTAAGAGGAGAAAGTACTCTCATCATGAACTTATTTAAATAAGTGACCTTATTTTGCAATTTTCCTTTTCCCTTTTCTACATGAATTTATATGTTTTACATATGTGCTTATATCCATTTTGGAAAGCTTTCCACTTTATAATTTGGCAACTGGAAAAAAAGAGAAAGTAGTAAAAAAGCTGCAAGCCTGAACAAGGAACTTATGTCTGAGTAAATAAGAATGAATAGTCTTAATATTCCTCTTAACAGCGCAGTCATGTTATCTTTTTACTCCTGAAAAAATCCATAGACTTGGATAGGATATATCTGAAATAGGGAATTCTTCCTTTTGCAGCCTTGTAAACAAGCCCATAAGTTTCTACCCTGTAAAATGTTTTGGTACCCTGCTGGGGTCTGACAGAAGAGGAATGGAGAGTTCAATCCTTCCTGCAGCAGCTTGCTGAATTTTTCTGATGGTTATGGAGGTGGGGCCTTCCATTCTTCAAAAGCTTGCTTAGTTACTATTCTGATCTCAGAGGTGAAACAGAGTGCTCTTTTCCTCCTCTTCTAGTCTGCACACATGCACACAGAATTCCATGTAGCTGCCTGCATGCAATCTCATTGTCACTCATTACTGCTGGCCTGGTGCTTAAATACAAGGGTTGGATTTTGGCAGGCTTCATTGAGACTAGGTATTCAGGTTTCAAATGTCTTAGTGGCTATTTTTGGTTTGATACCTTATAATTTATAACTCATAGTGCAAACCTGGGTATCTCTGCTTGAAAGTAAGCCCCACTGACTTCAGTTAGACTTGTATTAAGATAAGAATACATTGGATTGCAGTCTAAATAGTAGACTGCTTTTGAAATGTACAACATGGAATGAGATGGGGAGGAGCCATACCTGCACATAAACATCCCAAGTTCAGTTCCTGCCATGTCTAGGTAAAGAGGTCAGATAGCCATTGATGAGAAAAACTTCTTCCTGAAACTCTGATCAGCCAGTGTCACAGTAGACAATACTGGATTAGATGAAAAGTTACTATAGGGAAATAGAATGCCAACCCTTTTTGACCAATAAATGTTATTTTCTTTACAGGTTGCTTCTGTGACAGAATATGGAGCATTCATTAAAATTCCAGGAACAAGGAAACAAGGTTGGGATCTCTATCAGTTGTATTAAATGGTGTTTTGGTTTTTATAGTAAAAGATTAGAAATCAAAATACAGTGTTAACCCATTAGGATTCTTAAAACATTTCTGTTCATTTCATCTGTCAAAGAACATTACTTAACAAACTTTTTTTCTCCGTCATACTTCTTCTTAGGCCTTGTACACAAAAGTCACATGTCAAACTGCAGGGTGGACCAACCCTCAGAGTTGGTGGATGTGGGAGAAAAAGTGTGGGTGAAACTTATAGGAAAAGAGGTAAACATTACTGTCCTGTTTCTGAGGTGATTGTAAAATAGGATTTTGCACTTCAACAAATTACATGAAGGTTTTTGTTAAGAAAGAAGTACACACTGATCAGCTTTTTACTTTGAAGAAAGTACCCCACAGTCCTGTCAATGGCTGATGTTGCGTTTATGTTAACGTTGAATTAATGATGAGAAGCCCGGTGGGAAAACAGGAGATGCAGTACTAGCTGTGATGACTCTTTGGTCGGGGTGTTTTCCCTTCTGTGTAGAATGTTCCTCATCACAAACCCCTGGTTGATTTGTTCTTTGAGGTCTGACAAAAAAAAAATTTCAAAAGAATATTTCCTTGTCTTTCAGAAGACAGATGAGAAGTTAAAATTGTCTCTTTCGATGAAGGTTGTTAATCAAGGAACTGGAAAGGACCTGGACCCCAACAATGTGACCCTTGAGTAAGTAAAATATGTTGCACTTATGTGGGAGTATGGATTTTTTTTATTCTTTCATTTTCCCCTTTATCCTCAGGATGTGTGGCCCTCCAGATGTTGGACTGTAACTCCCACCCCACCCTATCAACATGACCATTGGTCAGGGATGAGGAAGCTATATTCCAACAATATCAAGAGGCCATGGTTTCCCCATCCTTGCTGTATCCCAATGGGCAGTGGTGCTGCTAGGGCCAAATTTCTGGGTGCATATCTGTGACTTTGCAGCCCAGGTGGCTCCAAATGACCTGAGAGACCAAGCAGCAGCCAGCAGGACAGGATGTGGTGATTGCACTGTGACAACAGCCAAGATTCCAGCAAGTTGGAATCCTTTTTATTGATTTCCCCCAGGGCAAGAGTGACAGTGAGGAGAGCCATTCAGATTCTGCCTTGGGGTTGTTGGACCAATGAAGACACAGGGGCAGCCACAGAACTTTCATTGGTTCATCTACCGCAAGATGATGTCTGATTAGCTTACCTTGCTTTCACTCTTGTCCTAGGAAAAATAATTTTAAATTAAATGGTGTATAGGTCGCTGGAGCAGAGCCTCTGTTGCCAGGGCAGAACTATCTTTTTTTGTGTATCCTGGAAGGTAACCTGCATCTGCCCTGAGATATCTCCTCTTCCCAAAGACTACAGAACCCCTCCAAAGTCGGATGGCCATAAGCTCCCCTCTGTCAAAAAGCCACACACAAAGAAAAGGAGACCTGCTATTCCCATTTGCTTCAAAGTAGACCACATGAGAAGCAAAAGGCAGGGAGCAAGGATGTGCCTTGCACAGGGTGCTATTGTTGCATGAATCCTGCTTGTTCCAATTGTCTGGGGAGAGTACCCTGTCCGCATTGATTTATGTGGGTCCCCTGGAAGACACATTGATTGGTGCTCCCCCAAAGCTGCAGGCCCTGTTTAAAAATGTCTGACTTAATTTCTGACATAAAGCTCCTTAGAATTTTGCTATTGGCTTCAGCTGAACTAGGATTACACCTCAAAACAAATGGTTTTGTCTGTGACTAAAATCTTTTATGTCTGCACACAGTCAAGATGCACGGAAGAAAGGCTCATTCAAAGACTACACCAGCCAGAAGATCACTCTAGAAGCAGTCTTAAACACAGTTTGCAAAAAGTGTGGTTGTCCAGGTATGTTGAGGTCAAATTCCTATTTATTTATTTTAAACATTTGTGTCATGTTACCTTTGTGTTTTTACAACACAAGTGAGAACTGTGCCACTTCTTTCTAACTGAGTTACTGGGGTTCAAATAGTAACTCATCCCTGTAGCTCTTGCTTGGTGGCCGTGGTTCAGCTACTGTATCTCAACCTAAACTATCTCACAGGGCTGTTGGGGGGGTAGAAAGGGGTGGGGTGCACTTTTTTTGCCAAAGGGTGGGATAATTGTTTGTTTAATAATAATGCAGCAAGGGCAGCGAAGTTTTGAAATACTGTTCACAACATCTTCAAACTTAATTGTGAGGCTATGAATGTTAGAAATATTTAGGGGGTGTTATTACAGCACAAGTGAGAACTGGACCACTTCTTTCTAACTGAGTTTTGGGGTAGTCAAGTCTGCTCATTCAATTATACTTGCAAATATACCTTATACAAATTTACCTTAAGCCAAAGGGCTGGGGTGTTTTGTTTGGGGGAGAGTTGTTGCCATTGGTTCTTTGTATACTTCAGGTTTTCTTGTGATTATTTGGAAATTTTTCAGTTTGGTTTGTATTTTTTTTTAATGTCTTTTTATTAAAGTTGGTTTGTATTTTTTTTAATGTATTTTTATTAAAGTTGGTTTGTATTTTTAATATTTATTGTCTGTGACTATTTTTGTTAATTGTTTTTTATGGTGGTTTTTATGTTGTAAGCTGCCTTGAGGATGGTTTGAATGGTGGAAAAGAGGCATACAAATAAAATTATGTATGTATGTATGTATATATAAAAGTAATAAAGTCCTCAGTCACAAATACCAGCATGAGTGGATGTGGAAATCAGCAGTTCCCAGGCATGCTGTAGGTAGAACTCTTACCTCCTGCTCCAGTATAGCCAGCACAAACTTGCTTTGCAGCCTTCAAAGACTGAGGATACAGGGAATGGCCTCTTGCAGTTTCAGGAAATACAGGCCATAATGGCAAAACTTTCCATAGCTAGAAAAGATGAATACTGCTGTTTTACTTTAAGGTACTAGAAAACACAGTAGGGGCAGAGAGGTGGTAAGCAACAAGGTTTGTTTTAGTTTTTTAATTTTTTTTAACATTGCGTTGAAGGTCATTTTGCAAAAGATTGCTTTGTGCAGCCAGGAGGGACCAAGTATACTCTGATTCCAGAGGAAGAAGAAATCCCTCCAGAAGAAGAAAAGAAGGCACATAAATCTGAAGATTTTGTGAAGAAGAGAAAAAAGGTAAAAGATTGGCTGACAGGATTGAGAACAGGTAACAGTTCTGTTGCCACATTCATTGAGAACAAGCTCAGCAAGCTGCCAGTTACAGTGATGTCAGCAATCTTGTACATAAAAGTAAGTCCATTTGAATCCCAGTGTCTATAGGGAGTGGGCCTTTGCACTTTTTAAAAAGCTCTTTTTCCCCCCAAAGGCCTATCTAAATATACTTAAAGAGTAAAAAATATTTGGTGCTCTGTGCTTAGGATGTTTAATTTTCTTATCCGGGGGCAAAACTAGGCTTTATGTGACCCAAGTCAAAGACCCAATTTGGCGCGCGCACACATACACACACACACAGAGGCTGGGAGCGTCAGTGACGCTCCTCTGAAGGCGTCAACCGGGGCAAAAACCTGGCTAGCTCCCCCATAGTTACAGCACTGTTGTACCTTTACTTTTTCCTTGATTTTATTCTTATAGTTTCTGTATTCTTATCCTGCCTTGGATATTTTATAAAAAGGTGGGATATAAATCTTGGTAATAAATAAGTGCTGCCCCTTTTTCATCTTAGCACTTTGTATTTTGACAACTGTTGCTGCTTTACCATCTTAAGGGTTAGGAGCTCTGTATCTGACTTCTTTTTAGGTTTCTGTTCAGTTTTTGCAAGTACTGTTGCTGCAAAATGCAGCTTGGATCATTGAGTAGCAAGGCCTCTTTGCACATAACATTAAGCCAAATAATAGTTTGGCGCGTATTAGCAAACATGCAGGTTTAGCTACTCAGCATCAGTACTGGGTGAAAAGCGCAACGGCTCCAATCTCCCCTTAAGGAACCTGCCCATTTGCTAGCTAGCGCTAAGCCATAGTTCTTCTTAGTATTACATGTGAACCGGCTTTTAGGGAATCATTTCCTAATACCCTCCAACAGAAAATCTTACGCGCACTAATGTATTCTCTCTAACAGGAAAAAAAGAGAAAAAAGAAACACAAGAGCAAAACTCCTTCCGAACTGGGGGATTCTGACAGTGGTGAGTCAGATGCTGGTGATGTTCAGCCATCAAGGAAGAAAGCAAAACGGACTGAAAAAGCCAGTGCATCCCAAAAGCGAAAAAAGAAGAAGCATCATAAGAAGAAGCACAAGGACTGAGAAGCGGATCCAAGGCCGTAGGCTGTGCTGACACAGTGTGCACCCTCTGGGCTCCTCTAATCTGCTGGAGAAAAAAATAGTTGAGCTAGTGCAACTTGCATTATAACAAAAGGGGATTCCTCCTTTGAAAAGCAACGTTGTTTTCCTACGAATTTTTTCCACAAGGACTGCCACTTTTCTCTACATGAAGAAGCCAGCTGCAGTTGGGTGTTCCTTACCACAGATGTTGCCCTCATTCATGTGAAACGCTTCTCCTTCTGTAGCTCCTTTTTCTTCTGGGCTTTGTGCCAGGCAGTTCCTTTGGAACAACCCAGAGCCATCTCCATGAAGCATGCATGGCACTGGCAATCAGTGCAGCTTCCTTAGCCAGGGTGGCAGCTGTGTGTTGATTCAGCATCTCGCCAGTCATTCTCCGCACGCCAGCAGAAAGAGCAGTGGACTCATCATCTTGGCTGGTCGATTTGTTCTGCACCGGTCACTCCACTGCATTTTTGCCCCATTCATACTGCAGTACTGGAGGAAGAAAAAAAATCATAAACTGAGTATCCCTAGGGGTTGCAAAAGCACAAATCAAAATGTGAAAACAAGCTTTGTGCTTATATTGCTAGCCATTTAAACTCTGAAATAAAGCCTTTTTTCCCTCCCAAGGTGTGATCCCTTTCTGTTACATTTTGGCCAATGGAACAGCTGGGTAATAGAAAGAAAGTAGTCTTTCTGTTGGATACAAAATAGTCTTTAGGGTGTGGCTGTTTTCCCAGGCTTGCTTCCCTTGTCTATTAAATGGCAATCTATGGTCAGCTTGTTTGTTTATTACACTTATCTGTGCTTCTGTCATAATGCAGCTGAAGGTAACATGGTCTTGCTTTGAGACAGTGACCTAGCACAGCTTAGTTTCACTGGGGTTACTATATTGTTTGTGGTGTTGATTTTAGACTACCACCAAGTCGTCGGTTCTTTCAGAAAGAGTGCAAGGGCTCTTCTACGTTCTGCGTAAGTGCTTCTGTCAAAACCATGACAAGGAAAAACACTTTCCCATGTTGGGTGTGTCACTATGAACTAACTAGGAAGTCTCTGCCAAAATCCTCTGCTATGAGGCTGCTTCAGTTGGTTTGCTAACCACACGATGTCAGGCAAGTAGAATGAGAGCTCTTATTCCACGTATGATTCACTGCTTGTGGACATCATACACCTGACTGCCTTTCCTAATGACAATAAATCAGGCATTCTATTGGTCTGGTTTGCACATCACATTAAACTGTGGCTAAAGGAAAATGTAATTAAATGTGGACAAGCAGTCTCTGGGTTGATGCTGCTGAAATCATAGGTGCTTTGCTCCTCTCCTGCTTGGAAGGAAGCCAGTTAGGCTTGTCATGACCTGGTGTGAACCTGTGGTCTGTTTCCCCATAAGCACAAGCCTGGGTTTAGGCAACACAAAATTCTGGAGTCTTTCCCTGCAGGAAAGGAGTAAAGCATCAACACTTTGAGTGTGCTCTAGCATGCTACTCATATATATTAAACGATAGCTTGTTTTAACTATGGTTAAAGGCAGTCCTCCAACCTTGGTGGTTTCCAGGTGCTACAACTCCCAACAGCCCAAGCCAGGATAGCAGTGCATGGCTAGGTTGTGGGAATTGTAGTCCATAGCAATTGCAGGTTAGTAAATGGGAGAAGGCTGGTTTGATGTGATGTGCAAACCAGGTCCACTTGGTTTTACTGAAGGGGAAACAGTCATTCTCACCCAGTGCTTTGTTGCTGGAGAATGCCAGTTGGTTCGCAATTGCCTGCAATTAGTCTTTGACCTGTCTAGTAGGCTGTTTGCTTTTTAAAAAAGAATTTTGCTCTTCACTCATGCTTCTTAAGACAGTTTACATGGGAAAAATTGATGGAGGATCTGAACTATCCAGCCCACCAGCAGTATAATGGTAGTGATGGTGGTAGTAGTAGTAGTAAAGCTAAAAAGTTTGAATGAATAAGGTGGTGTTCTGGCATTGAAAGACGACCAAATGGGCACCGATAAGGTGGCCAGTCTGCCACTGACTTCTGGTGGGGGCACCCAGAGGACAGCCTCCAAAAATGACAGTGCATGAGCAGGGTGACATGGGAACAGCTGTGGCTTCAGGTTTCCATGGGTCCCAAGCTGTGTAGGGCTTTAAAGGTAAGCAGCAGCACTTCGAAATTACCTTAAAAAATGTACTGGCAGACACTGTACTGTACTGGCCAGATGCATTCTCAAAGATCAACACCAGTTAATCGTTAATTAATTACGGCATTATACAATGCCTCTTAGTCCCTTTCTCTGCCCCACCCTCTGAGCATGAGGTTGTTCTAAAGGGCTGTCAAGAGTTTCTTAAGGACTCCTTAAGACTCCTTAAGCGATGATGATCTGATGATCGGAAGATTTTTAAGCCCTGCCTTTCAAAGGAGCACATGAGTTAATACATTCCTGACCACTTCTCTATCACTGACAGAATGGAAATTCACAGTAAATCATTTAATAATAAGTTTTTAAAAACCCGTTTAAAAAAACATAGGATTTTCAAGAAGCTGGATTCAATCCCAGACATACTTCCTGGCCAGTCCTGATATGCATGTTCCATGCCAGCTGCAAACATGTCTGAGAAGGGTGCTTTTAGAAAGTAACAGCTAAAACCATCTACTAGACATGTGCTTTTAAAAAGGGGAAATAGCATCATACTTGATTCTCAATGATAAGTTCATTGATATGCAAATAGATTTTACTTTTTGGTCAGCATCTTCAGTGTCCGAAACAGCTGGGTTCTGATTCTTTACTGGCATCCTTCAGTAGTAACACCTGCTGCAAGGCATAGTTCTTATGGACTGCAGCATAATCTCCAATGCAAGACCACAGCTGGTGTGTTTTAAAGCAGTACGTATACTCCACATGGATGAGGTTGAGTTGACATTATTCTAGGTGTAGTTACGATTCTCTAGTCTGCAATATTTATATTTTAATTTGTAGATGTTCCGGTTACTACTTTCTAAAAATTGGGACTCTAGTAATTAAAAATCTGGGTTTCTTTTCCTTCTGATTTCTGAGCTTTTGCTCACGTTGCTATACTCCCAGCCAATATAAATGGGAAAAACCATTTAAGGATTCTTAATACATGTTCAGATGTCCCTACACCAAGGCATTGGTTTGTAGCCTTCAGTACCACAACAGTGCATTCTGGCATAGTGAGCTGGTCTTCTTTCAATAAATGTCTATATGATCTCACTATATTGTACTTTGTGTATTTTTGATGTTGAACTAAGACACTATTGGAAGTCATTTTGTCACCGGCACCCACAGACCTTTCTCAAATATGGGCCTATTGTCCCCCAAATGGTTGGTAATTCCGATTCTAAAAGATCCTGAAACCAAACATTGTAAGCAACGTAAACTGCGTCTTGCAAGCAGCATCCTCATGTTTTTGTTGCCTGTATTTCTCAAAGCATAATGTAAAATAATGTCAGAATACGTTTGACTAGCCATAGAAGTGGGGGGACAGTGGAAATCACACAACAGATTTTTAAATGAAAACCACACGCGTTAGGAAACTTTAATATTAGGCATCCACAACTCCAGACAAACCTGTTTAGATCAGGTTACCCCAACTGAAGAGAAACACCAGGAAAATGCTCTCCTATTTTAAAGTCACTGAAACTCATCTTTGCTTTGTCTGAAGCTTGGATAATGACTTGCATGGTTCAGCCACAAGAGCTTCCATATCAAATTGCTTGAAGGCATGTGTGACAGACAGGCCTCAGATCTGCCTTGTGACCCAGCAACCAGTTGGTGCTGGCATACAGATCAGCTAATCAGAGAGGGAAATTAACCATCAAATAGGGATGGGGAGTGTCCAACAGCAAACAGGCAGGGATTGTATGTGGGTTAGACAGGGTCCTAGGTATGGAGTCAGGGACTTTGTATAGGCAGAAAGGGTCTCTGGCTATCTTAAGTGGAGTCTTACAGGGTTTATCTGCTAGAGGAAGCTGATAGCACACCTGTAAGTGGGCAGACAAGGTTCATTCTACCTGAGGGGGAAGGCTAAGATCATAGGAAAGAGCTGGAAGGTTTTATAGTGTAGAAGAATAGCCATCCTACAAAGAAAAAAATTATCTGACAGGTTGAAAGTGTTGCATTCAGATATTTAATACAGTATCTGTGTATCTGCTTGAAACAAAGTATTGCACCTTGCAGTGGTAAACCATCAAGTGTAAACAAAGTTTCTGCTTTGTCTTAGAAGAGCCTCATTCTTAACTTTGGTCTTCTGGGTGAGGTCCATATTCCCTTACACTCAATTTTAACCTGGCCAGCAAAAATGTCACCACAAACAGTCAATCCAAAAGCTGGGTCTTAAGACGCCACAATGCGAGACACCTTTAGCTCCTGTGGCTCCTTAATACAATACTCATCTGACAAATCAGCTTGGCTTTGTAAAACAATAGACTAAAGATTTAGTCTGTATGCCACACGCTTGAACCGTAGGACTGATTCTGCAGCTCTGTAACACAATTGCCATCCGACCAGCAGGCAAGGGTGAGGCTATAGTAACAGCGAGTACCTGTAATCATACCAATTAATTTAATTAGACCAGATAATGCTAGGGCTCTGATCTGTTTAACCACCTTAAACATCCATTTTGATGGTTGGCAGAGGAGGAGGAATGCATTTTCAGTAAAATGAACTAGGGTTGGGGAACCTTGGGATCAAGCTGTGACATTCCAGATCTACAGTGGTACCTCGGGTTAAGAACTTAATTTGTTCTGGAGGTCTGTTCTTAACCTGAAACTGTTCTTAACCTGAAGCACCACTTTAGCTAATGGGGACTCCCGCTGCTGCCATCGCACAATTTCTGTTCTCATCCTGAAGCAAAGTTCTTAACCTGAGGTACTATTTCTGGGTTCGCGGAGTCTGTAACCTGAAGCGTATGTAACCTGAGGTACCACTGTATCTGTTTAGCCCTTGGGATTCTCCATAAGCCACACCCCTCACCAGACCTGGCTCCACCCCTCCTGCAGTGTTCAACTATGACAATGTCTCTTTGTTTGCATTGTGTGAATTGTGTGTGTAGAAATGTTGCTGCTGGAAAGCACCCTACTATTAGGAGTCTGTGCCTCTGGCCCAGCTCATCACTACCACATGGCTCCCTAAAGGTTGCTTGTGAAGGAATGTGGCTCCTAGGCTGAAAAGCTCCCCCCCCCCACACACAAATGGAATGATTTATTAGTCATAATCCCAGTTATGTCATCAAGGGCGAGCAGACAGAGACCCAGCCAGACACCATTACACAACTATTTCAGTTTATTACGTCCACATAGCTTGTTTCTGCCTCGCCCACTTCTTCAGTATTTTTTTTTTAAAAAGCAATGAAAGAAAAGAAAACGAAAAGAAAAGATCAGGGTGAGAGAGTTCAAGTTGCATACTGAACAGATTCAAAAAGGTTCAACAACTATACAAAAAACACTTGTGGGGAGGAAGGGAATCACAAAGGCAATTTGGCAACAAGTTTGGCATTGGATGACTTGGCAAGAGAACAGGTACAGGCTCTTATTCTGCTTTTTGATAGGTACGGGTGCAGACCACGGTGCCCATCGTCAGAGTCTGAAAGAGAAGAAAAGGTAAGCAAGTCTTAGCCCAGAAACACTGTGACCCCCCCTCCCAGGAGGCCTGTTATAGACTGTATAATGACTTAGTCTTGGGGCATTACTTACAAAACCATAAGGGTGGGCTAATATCTAATGTCTATTTTGGAAAGAGGTTTGACTGTCTATTCTCCATAGGTTTGGCTGCCTCTTGAAATATTGTTGCCAAACATGGCTTCCAAGCTGGGTGCAGAAGAGCGGTAGTCTCGTAATCTGGGGAACCGGGTTCGCGTCTCTGCTCCTCCACATGCAGCTGCTGAGTGACCTTGGGCCAGTCACACTTCTTTGAAGTCTCTCAGCCCCGCTCACCTCACAGAGTGTTTGTTGTGGGGGAGGAAGGGAAAGGAGAATGTTAGCCGCTTTGAGACTCCTTAAAGGGAGTGAAAGGCGGGATATCAAATCCAAACTCTTCTTCTTCCAAACTTTGTCACCATCTTGGTGACACCATCTTGAATCAAGATGGCGGACCAGGATGGGACTTTAGTTTGACATTTTTTTGCACTGTTTTGGCTCTTAATTGCCAAACTTGGCACGAGGGTTCCCAGGGTGGGGCAGTTCCTCCACCGACAAGGACTGTATGTACTTGTCTAAAGCACAAATTTGAAAAAGAAAGAACAACAACCCTGCAGGCTGATTAAGTGGGCACCTCTTGCAGTTGATCAAAATGTTTCTAATTGATATAGCCAACCAACCATTAAATTGCAGAGGCAGCCAAAGTAAAGAGTTACTTGCTTGTTTTTTTCCAGGCACATTTTCATGTGACGTGGGGTGGGGTTGGAGGCAGGTTAAATAGTTTCCAGGAGTGATTTCCTTCCCTTGCAGTTTTCTCTTCAAATTTTTAACTTGCCCATGTAGGCCACAGGCAAAGAGCAGCGTACTTTGTCTTACCAAAATCAACTTTCCGTCCTTCAGTTCTCGGACTAGCGAGGTCTCCTTTCCATCCCATTTCTGCACATGAAGGAGCTTCCCTCCATCTAGTGTCACAAGCGACTGAAAGAAAGAAATCAAATCAAGCTCGTTAGAGAGCCGCAGAATTGTGGTTCGTAACAGAAAAGAATTCTGAGTTCCACAAGCGCAACACAGAGAGACTACAGAGGAGGAAGGCGGACAGACAGTTTCATCCCTTGGGTGGGTTGTAAGCAAGGCCCCATCTGCACTATGGATTTAAGGCAGTGTCATCCCACTTTAAACAGCCACGGCTTCCTCCAAAAAATCCTGGGGGCTTTGTTAAGGATGCTGAGAATTGTTAGGAAGCCCCTATTCCTGTCCCAGAGCTGCAATTTCTAGAGTGGTTTAATCATTTCCCCCAGGAAACCTTGGGAAGTGTAGCTCTGAGGAAGAACAGGGGTCTCCTAACAATGCTCCACATCTTTGTACCGGTTACTTGGCCGAAGAACCACAATGCAAAATACCGTATTTTTCGCACCATAGGGCGCACCGGACCATAGGGCGCACCCAGTTTTTAGGGGGGGAAATCAAGAAAAAAACTCCCCCCCCCCAGCCCCAAAGAGCAGTGTACAGGCTGCGCACAACCTCTCCCTGCCGGAGGGATTGCGCGCGGCTATGGCACAAGCCAAGGCAGCGAGCAGGATCCATCCCGCTTGCTGTTTTGGCTTCCCCTTTAGCCCCATGCAGCCTCTCCTTGCCGGAGGGGTTGCGCACAGCTATGGAGCAAGCCAAGGCAGGGGGCGGGATGGATCCCGCTCGCTGTTTTGGCTTCCCCTTGCTGGGAAGACGCTCCCCTTGTCTCCTTGCCGGGAGACGCTGCGCAGGGCTTTCCTGGCTTTACTGGAAGGTGGGGGGATTCCCCCACCTCCTGCAAAACCGGCAGAAGCCGCGCACACTTTAAAAGGGCTGCACGGCTTCTTCTGGCTTTCCTGGGAGGTGGGGGGGATTCCTTCACCTCCCAGAAAAGCCAGGAGAAGCCACGCAAACCCTTTAAAGAGATCGCGGCTTCTCCAGTCAGTGCGGCCAGTCAGTCCCTTCTCCCTCCTGTGGAAAAGCCCGCAAGAGCACACGGAGCTTGTATGCGGCTCTTTTCCCACCTGCCTCCCCCCTGCATTCGCTCCATAGGACGCACACACATTTTCCCTTGCTTTTTAGGAGGGAAAAAGTGCGTCCTATGGTGCGAAAAATACGGTAATTAATAATAATAATAATAATAATAATAATAATAATAAGTATACCCTGCCCATCTGGCTGGGTTTCACCAGCCACTCTGGGCAGCTTCCAACAAAATATTAAAATACAAAACTCTGTTAAACATTAAAAGCTTTCCTAAACAGGGCTGCCTTCAGATGTCTTCTAAAAGTCTGGTAGTTGTTTTTCTCTTTGACATCTGGTGGGAGGGCGTTCCACAGGGCGGGTGCCACCACCAAGAAGGCCCTCTGCCTGGTTCCCTGTAACTTGGCTTCTCGCAGCGAGGGAACTGCCAAAAGGCCCTCGGCGCTGGACCTTAATGCCTGGGCAGAATGATGGGGGTGAAGATGCTCTTTCAGATAAGTGTGGATTTTGAAGAATGACTGGGCCTTTCAGTTCTCATATTGTTACAGAAGGTTTAGGTTAGGCAAGTTCCCCTTTAAATGTGAACCGAGTCATATCCCCCACCCTTACATATGCCCCACGTGGGAGCCAGTGAGGCTTCCAGCTGCTGTAAGCCTATCCTATTGTTAACCTTCAGGCTCAGGTCATCTGTGTAGAGTGCCCTGCAACTCCTGTGAAGCTCTAAAGCAGAACCTCTCGCAGGCCATACATGTTGTTTTAACATCTTGTCCTCTGGCTGCCTGCCAGCCAAAATCATTTGCTTCGAAGGTCAAACATGCAGCTTGCCAGTAATTCACACATGCTCGCTTTCTATGGAATGCAAATGAGATATTTCCATTGCCCCCCCCCCTTATGTTTTGCTTGACAACTGTCTGTACACCACTTAAAACAATATTTTTAGTCAATTAAGTCATTTGGCTTTGGCTTTAAGCAAGGGTAACTGAAACTGCACACCAGCAAGTCCTCAATACAAGCACCTTTTTGAGAATAAGGAAAAGCACTGGAAGAATTTACTTTCACCACTTGGAACAAAAAACCCTCTTTCCCCATCACATTAACATACCAGGGCAAAAATGGATTAAAAAAACAAGCTCGTGGGCCTTTCAAACTCAACCCCTCAATTAAAATCAGTTTCAGCTCACAACCCTAGTTTTTAAAATATGTCGTAGCATCATCACAAGCTGCTCTCACCAGTAACAGAGATCCTGCAGTGAGTCATGGCTATGTGATTATTGAAAAGAAGAATTGTTTTAATACGCTCTAACCTACTTTTTTATTTTAAACCCCACCCACCCCCGGCAAGGCTTCAGAGCTGCAGGCTGTGTCATTTGAGGGTAGAAACCAGTAGCACAGCTTCTTTTGACAGACAATAAATATCAACGTCACAGCAACGGAATTGGTTTGTTCAGGATCTGATAACAAGTAAGAGAAAACCACTTTGATGAATAGGAATCCAGTATACAAACTTAAGGTTGTTAATCAGTGCAAACCTCTGCTGGTTTACTAAAAAATAAGACGCTGAGTTCAGCATGGCCTGCTCTAGAGTAAGCATGCACCTGCCCTGCTTTTGTTACAGGTTCCACTTGTTCCAAATTGATATCAAATCTAACTCTGCTCCGAGACCGGAATAACCTAACACTCAGTACTTTTTTTACTGAAGTTGTTTCAGTAAGTGCCACACTTTTTACAACAACAAAAAGAGGTGCCGGTACTGTGTACTCTTGAGTATCCCCTTAAAAAGCACTGCTAACACTTAAAGAAAAACCCAGCACTTATAGAAAAACAGGTAAGCTCGGGTCTGGTCAGATGCAATGACAGGGGTGTGACTAGGTACCTAAAGGACTCTGGTCACAAGCCCATGGCACAATTTTGAATGAATGTAGAGACGACTTCTAGGCAAGTAAAGAGACTGGGTGAGTGGGATCTTGCCAGCTTTGCAGCAAGCCCAGCAGCTCTGCAAGCAAAGGGTGAAAATAAGGGGGAGAAGGAGGAGGAGAGTTTGGGGCGTGGCAGCACAAATGACCAAGGGGTCAGGTACCCCGGGCTACTCCCAAACAAAGCCCTTTCCGTATGGACCATAAAGCAGAGTCTTCATAGTGAAACAGACCAGCCTGATTAATGACAATTAATAATAATAATAAATTGTATTTATACCCCGCACTCCCCAGCCAGGTCAGCTAACAACAGTAAAAGCATAATGGGGGGGACCAATTTAAAATACAGGTTAAAATGCAGTTTAAAATACAGCCTCATTTAAAAAGTAGCCCATAGATCAAAACCATAAGGGGAGGGAGACATAAGGGTCAGACTGAGTGCAAACCAAAGGCCAGGCGGAACAGCTCTGTCTTGCAGGCCCTGCAGAAAGATGTCAAGTCCCGCAGGGCCCTAGTTGCTTGTGACAGAGTGTTCCACCAAGTCGGGGCCAGTACTGAAAAGGCCCTGGCCCTAGTTGAGACCAATCTAACCACCTTGTGACCTGGGACCTCCAAAATGTTGTCATTTGTGGACCTTAAGGTCCTCCATGGGGCATACCAGGAGAGGCTGTCCTGTAGAATTGAGCACGCTGCCACCTACTCCAAGCGTAGGGAACCTTTGGTCCTCCAGAGGTTGCTGAACTACAACTTCTATTATTCCTGGCTTTTGGTCATGCTGGGCTGACAGAAACTGTAGTTCAGCAACAAGCAAAGGGCCAAATGTTCCCATTTCCTGACCATATGCATTCTCTCTCCCAGGCCCTCCTCATCACTATGTTTCAGAAGCACCTTGGCATTTCTCCCCAAGTTAAGAACAGAAGGAAAGCCCTACGGGATCAGGCCAAAGGTCCAGCTTGCCCAGCATCCTGTTCTCAGAGTGGGCAACCAGGTGCTCATGGGAAGCCTGCAAGCAGGACAGCAGCACAACAGACATTCTCCCCACTTGTGATTCCCAACCCAGTGGAGGCAGGACATGGGCATCGTGGCCAGCGTGAGACTTCATCTCCACTGATTTGGTTCCATCCTGGCATCTCGAGTGACAAGGATCAGGCAGCAGGCAGTGGTGGCTGGTGTCCATTTGGAATGGTAGGGTGGAAGGCAGAGTCAATGACAAGCAGAATCAATTAATTCTGGTTTTGCCCCATCCCCTGCTGAGTTTTTTTATTTTTTTATTTTTTTTAACTATCAATTCTTTATTGATTAAAAGATTTGCAGGTCTATACAAACATTATGTACAATCTCTTAACAGGTATATATATATATATATATATATATATATATATATATATATATATATATATATATATATATGAAAATTTATAAAGAAAAAAGAAATAAAGAACAAAGATAAGAAACAAAGAAATCAAATTAAAAAAAGAGACAAAGTTATTTACATAGTAAAAGTACTCATCAGCACAACCCTTCCTGCTGAGTTTTACAAGGGCAACTGTGGGACTAAGGATCAGGAAGCAAGCAAACAGTGCTACCCTTTTGAACTGGATGCAAGTAAGAAGGCAAGCAGGTGAGGGCTGGCTGACGCCAGACCCAGGATGGTGTAGTAGTGCCCCATTTGCCCTAAATAGACCAGCTTGGACTGCTAGCAGCTGACAACATGGCCAGTCAAACTAGACAGTCATGGGCTAAATAGACAAATCAGTCTGATCAGCTATAAAACATCTTCTATATTCTTGTCTAACCCTTTTGTAGCTCCTGATGGGACCTAGCAAGGGTTGCAGTCACAATCTTGACAGCCAGAACTCTACCTTGACATGTCTGTCATCTGCGGTCGTCTCATCAAATTCTTCTCCTATTGTGAATTTGATCTCCGTGCTCTTGAAAGTGCTCTGGGTCTTGAGGGTGATCTTGTTGCCGTCAACCTCAATAATGGTGGTGGGTTTGGTCAGGTTTGCCATCTGCCTCGTGGCAAAGCCCACGCCTGCAGGAAAAGGAGAGGTTAAAAGGGGTGGGGGAATTAGCAGCCTAGAAGCTTGGAAGTCAGTGTGCCATAATGATCACAGCATTGATGGGATACTGGTATGAAAAGCAGATTTGTTAAAACAGAAGAAAGCTAATGAAGGCTTAAAAAGAAGGTGGAGGTGTGGGAATCTTTGAGGCCTTCTGGATGTTGCTGAACCACAACTCCCATCATCGCTGGCCATTAGCTATGGTCACTAGGGTTGACGTTGTAGTTCAGTGACATCTGGAGGGCCCAAGCTTCCCCCATACCTTCTCGAGAGAGCTGCTTGCAAAACCGCTTGGTTAAACACGCACACACAACAGAACACAATAACCCAACACCCAGCCACACCACCAAAAAGAACAAAGGCTTATTCATCAAAATTAAATCAGTTGCACTGAAGGTGGAGCAAGCGAGTCCTTCTTGACTTACTGAGATAGAGAAATCAGGCCCCCATCACCAGTCCTTGTAGGGAGTGTTCTTTCTGGCATTCAGCCATGTAGTGGAGAGGACTCCTAAGAGACCCACATGTTTGTATATGATAAGCTGCTATTGAGAGCTCTCCAGGCAGGATTTAGCAGTGTGGCAAGACTCTTACCATTTGCATTCCTTTGGGGGTGGACCTCTCCTCATTTAGCTGCTAATCTGATTGGATTCGTACCCTTGCTGGCAACTGCAATGGAAAGGAACAGCTTCATTGTGCTCCCACCAGAGAGCCCAGTCTTCCATACGCATTGCACCCTATGACCAGCAAGCCTTACATTCCCCCCCCCCCCCAAGATCCGTAACTAGTGTGTTGCGTAGTGTATAGTGTGTCAGACTAGGTCTGGAGCAGACCCAGGTTCAAATCCTATTCTGCCTTAAGGCTCACTGCATGACCTTGGACCAGTGGCATTCACCAAGACTTGCACACCTCACGGGGATGCTGGGAGGCTAAAATGGGGAGCCCCTTGAAGAAAAGGTGGCCTAATAGATACAATTTTAAGAGGGTTACTTTGAAGATGGGGTGGGTGGTGGACCTCACCTCCGTATCTCCCAAAGGTGAGAACTGTCAGAAAATTTCAGAGCGGGTGAGTTTTTCTGTTCCCCAGGTCAGTTCTGCTTTTAAAACTGAGATCTCTTCCACATCCTCTGTGATTGGGAAAAGGACCGTAAGCTCAGTGATGGAGCATCTGATTTGCATGCAAAAGGTACCAGGTTTGAAGTCCCCATCATCCTCAGGTACAGCCAAGCATGCCCAACTTGTCTGATATCTAGTCAATGCAGAGCAAGGGCTGGGAAACTTTCCAGCTCAAGCTCAGTCTGCAGAGCATGAGACTCTTAATCTCAGAGTTGTGGGTTCAAGACCCATGTAGGGCAAAAGATTCCTGCATTTCAGGGGGCTGGACTAGATGAACCCTTGCGGTCCCTTCCAATTTTACAATTCAACATCCTCTTCTGGGCAGTCGTCCAAGAACAGCACAACATGGCGGGTGGGGCCAGAGGCAAAAGCCGGCAAAGCAACAAATACAGATTTTATCTTTGTACAGAAGGATTTGGCCCCTGGTCCTGGGTTTCACCACCCCTAAATATAGAGAATACTGAGCAAGATAGATCAATGGTGTGACCCGTTACAAGATTATGTTGTAGGTTCCTATTATTAACAGAAGGGTCAGAAGCTCAGGGATGTAGAACATGCTGCTTTTCTTGTAGAAAACCCCAGCTGCTGGAGGCTCCAGTTAAAAAGGATTCCAGTTAGCAGACAATGTTGAAAGCATTTGCTGAGATCCTGGATTTCTATTGCCAGTTAAATAAATGCCCTTAGTTCCTCCAAACATGTCACAATGTCTACTGGGGCCTTCGAGTGTCCTTGGAGGAGGAAAATAATCTTGCCCAGAGTGCAATAAGGTATGCTAGTATTCCAAGAAGGAAGATAAGCACCATAGGAACTGACCTTCCCTGGAATATTCCAACCCCCCCCCCTCACACACAGAAAATAAGCAAGTCTCTAACTCCTTTACTTATTGAGAGATACAACAGAAAGCATGCAGGCAGGATTCTGCCCAATTTCTCATTAAGGTAGAAACTTGGCCACATTCACACCATACATTTAAAACACTGTTATAGGACTTGTAACACTCATGGCTCCCTCAGGGAATCCTGGGGTTTTTGTTAAGGGTTCTGAGAGTTGCTCCATTCTCCTCCCAGAGCTACAATTCTCCAAGTGGTTTAACAATCAATCCCTCTTCCCAGACAACTCTGAAAAATATGGCTCTGTGAGGGGAATAATAGTTGCCTAACAACTCTCAGCACCTTTAAACTACAGCTTCCAGAATTCTTTGAGGGAAGCCACAACTGTTTAAAGTGGTAGCATAGTATTTTAAACGTATGGCGTCATATGAACTTGATCTCATCTTCCAATTTCCTGGCCAAAGAGTGTACAGGGCCAAAAGATACTTTGTCCTCATCTGCAATTTCTTTCACATTTTTGATACTTTAAATTTTTAATCAGCATATTTCTCATGCCACCCGAAATTAGGCCCCGCCTGTTCTGTACTGATTTGCCACTCTTAGACAATCTCCCAGCAACTTTTCCCAGTTCCAACAAGCACACAAGAAGATCCCACAGAGCATCACAGCCTCCAACATTTTCCATCTGAAAAAACACCCCAGTCATCAAACCACAGAACACCACCTGAGCCTCTTCATGCCATAGCTCTGTTGAAGAGTCTATTTCCCCTGCTGTATTCTTTACCCTGCCATAGCCTCATATCCCATCAGTCTGAAATATGTTTGTTTTTGGAGTTTAAAGGAGTAATAGAAGTGGGTCCTGCAACAAAGTGTTGCAGCATAATCCCCCTCCTAATAGAAGTGCTCTTGTCCCAAGGTTCCAGCTACCCAATATTCTCTCTAAGCAGATAATTCCACTCTCCTCCCATTTTCCCTTCTCTCTTTTTGAGCTGTCATCCTACATTTCTTTTTTTTTAAAAAAAAAATCTTTATTAAACATTCAACACATATTTACACAACAATTTGCCATGTTGCAATTTATGCACACACACAAACTTCTGATTGTTCTCAAAAAACTAAGTCTCATATTATTTTTTACACAGTATCATATTATTATACTTTGTTTCCTTAATTTCCTTCAGAGAAATATTATTTAGTTTGTTGTCTATACATTACAAGAATCATTTAAGGTCTGCCAGGAGGTTTTTGCTATTATAATAGATATTCAAATATTCTTTAAAAACTATCCATTCTTTATTCACCTTCTGCATTGAGTAGCCTTTAACTCTCCCCATCATTATTGCCAATTGGATGTATTCTGTCATTTTTACCTGCCATTCTGACGTTGTAGGTTTAATTTCACTCTTCCAATTCATTGCGACCAGAATCCTGGCAGCAGATGTTGCGTACATAAAAAATGGTCTTACTTCTTTCTTGATTTCAGTTAACACAATCCCTAATAAAAAGGCCTCTGGTTTTTTTGTGAATGGGAATTTGAATATCTTTTTTCATTCATTATATACAATACGCCCAAACTCTTTGAATTGTTTCACTCTTCGATTTTTTCCCTACATTCCATGGCTACTGAGCATGCTCAGTACTCATGGAGCCTTTTTTGGGGGGGAGGGGTTCCCCTTCAGGATTCTCTCCACATATGCCGATACCTCCTGCTTGTGTCTTAAGTGGGTTTTGTTTTTGGGGTTTTTTTGGTACCAGTCCAGCAGCACTCACTACCCAAGTTTGCAGACAGAGGGAGAAATCGTAAGGGGGAGGAGGAACAGGCCTTCAGTCGTGATAAGCAGCTCCAAGTATACCTCATGCTTTGTGCAAAATGGCAGGCTGAGCACTGCATGGTGCAAATGCTCATGCACTTAGGTACATATGCATTACAGAGCCCGGGAGAGTCTAACTACTCTGACCCCTAACTAATGACAATGGTAACAGCTAGCACAAATGAGGCATGCCCTTCCCATAAAGAGTAGGGCCCTGGATTACAATGAGGGGATGTATAGGGCTGCTCAGGGCTCACATATAAAAGTGAGAGAATAAAAGGCAGAACGTATTAAGAGAGCCAGTGTGGTGTAGTGGCTAGAATATCGGGCTAAGACCTGGGAGATCAGGGTTCGAATCCCCACTGGGCCATAAATTCACTGGGTGACCTGGGGCCAGTCACTCACAGCACAGCCTACTTCACAGGGTTGTTGTGAGGATAAAATGGGAAGGAAAAGGAACCGTTTAGGACAGCTTGAGCTCCTGGGAGGAAAGTTGCCATATAAATGTAATGATCAAACCGTAATGAACATGAAACAAAAGAAAATAAGTCAGCTCAACTCTCCATCAGTTATGCAGTGATTCTACCTGCATTTACTTCGGAGCAAGCCTTACTTATGATGGGACTTACTCCCGAGTAAGTCACTGAGTCATTTGCTTTGCATAGGACAGGCTAAGATAGGTTTAAATCCCACCCTTTCCATCTTGTGGCCTAAGAGTAAGAGGAGGAATAAATCTCGGGCGGGCAGATCTTCCAAGGCGCTGCAGGAGCCAAGCGGGCGGGGTCTGGCCCCATTCCAACCAGCGTAAACCAATCGCCCCACAGACGGAGAGAGGAGCGCCCTGGGCGGAGGCGGCGTGGCCTAGCGCAAATGGAAGATGCGTCCAAAGCGCAGCTGCCCCGGGCTGGCTTTCCCCGCCCTCTTCCCCAAACTTGGTTCACCGCTCTGACCTCGCCCGGTGCCTCCGGGCGCCTCTTAACCGCAAGACCTTTTGTGCACCTACTCGGAAGCAAGCGCCATTAAGCTTCGTTCTAGGCTAAGCACCATGCACGAGAGATAATACATCATACTCGAGATTCACGATTGGGCAGCTAGATCCGTTTTCTTGGCTCGCTGCAGCGGCAGACGCGCGTCCGCAACCCTTTCCACACGTGGCGTTTTCCTCTCTCCTGCAAATCCAGGAAAGCCCACGCCATCTAGTACGCGCGTTCGCTATTAAGGCGCCCCAAGGCTCTTTGCTGCGTTTTGCTATAACAAATGGATGGCTGCAATCCCTAACCACCGCTAGCTACCGTTACCTGGGCGTAAGCCCCATTGAATTCAATAGGTCTCCTCCCCGGTAGACCTGGGATTATGCTGTGACGCGGAGATTCCGTTTTCTGCACCTCCGGGGGTGGGGCTGGGGGCAGCAGAATGCAATATACCCGAGCTACCCTACGCACCACCTGCAGCCACGGCAAGGATCCGAATTAAACGCATTTACACCCAGAAGGGATTAAGAGGGAAGGATTCTCCCGGCAGCCTAATCCGCCGCGGAGCTCCTTCAGTACTACAAAACGGGAAGGTTTGAATGAAATGCCGGCCCTCCGCCCACGTGGCTGGCGGCTCAACTTCTCCAAGCGATTTCCAGATGGCCGCGGAGGAGAAAACGCCCCAGCTCGCCGGCGCCCGGCGTTACCAAATGGCACCGCACCGAGCAAGCTGCCCAAGCCGAGCGCATTCCAAGATGCACCGATAACATTTCAGTCTCCCGGGCGGGCGAGTGATTGATGGTGGAAGGAAAAACCCCGCTGGCCTTCTCGGGGTTGCAGTGCCAGCAGCCTGCAAGGTTGTGCGCTCTCCTCCTAGGCAATCTCTCCCCCACCCCACCCCAAAAAACGGGAGGAAAAATAGTATCCCTGCTCTTACCGATAGCTTTCATGTAATCGTCGAAATTGCAGCTGTCGACCAGGTTCCAGACGCCTGCGAAAGCCTCAGCCATGGCGAGCCTTGCCGGGAATGTTTGCGCAGCGAGGAGAGAGGCTTTCACGCAGCGCGCTTGCTGGCTTGGCGCTCTTTATATTTATATATATATATATTTTCCAGGCGCGGCCGCCTGCCTCCCTTAAATAGCTCTTGCTTCTGATCACATGGGTGGGAAAGAGCAAGTGATGGGCTGTCCCTCATACCCCGCACCCCCACCCCTTGTAAGTGACAAGCCGGGAGATTGGAGCAGCCCGAACGAGCTACCGAGCGCTTTCGAAGCCTTTAGGAACGCCTGCCGGGTGGAGCCGCTTTTGGTGCTGCTGCTGCAAGACAGGCTGGGATTCAACTGGTGTAGCGTCTCGACAAGACAGGCTGGGATTCAACTGGTGTAGCCTCTCGACCATCCCAGCCCCCACACAGACGCGGTCCCTGGCAGACTTTGCTGTAGCCTATCACTGGGTTTAGAAGGGTCCAGACTGATACGATAAAATAGAAGCGGCCACTGCAGCGTCTGGGTCTGTGCTTCCTTTTTAATTACTATTGCTATAATTGTCGTTGTACTGTAATTTTATGCCATCTTTCCTGCTAGGCAGGCCAAATGCAAAAGGGGATGAGGCTGCTCCACCTTTAATTGGGGTTAGAAGAGGGAATTTCAGCAGGTGCAGTATGATAGGCTACAATCTTGCACTTTTGTATGAGGAGCTGCAGTATACACTGTTCTCCCTCCAATTTTATTTTCACAACAACCCTGTGAGGTAGGGTACACTGTGTGTGTTTGAGAGCGGGAGAGGGACTGTCCTGCTAACAGCACCGTCTTAGATATATCTACTCAGAAGCCAACCCCTCTGAATCAAATGTGGCTTACTCCCAGGTAGGTGAGTGCGCAGCATGCCAGTCAGAGGGCGTTTCTAGACTGTCGCTGTCTTTGGGTGGAATTCATAGCGCAGACCAACCAATTATACTCAGCAAACAGGCAAGGGCTGCAGCTCAATGGCAGAACGTCTGGTTTGCACACAGAAGGTCAGGTGGACCTTCTGCCAGTTGGAGCTGAGAGACACCCCCAGTCTGAAACCTGGAGAGCTGCTGGCAGTCAGTGTAGACAATGTTGAGCTAGATGGACCCTTGATCTGACGCGGCTTCCTGCGTTCCTGTGGCCTGAGCGAGCATCATGGCTGGGTGGGGATTGGAACTCACAGCATGCTGGCTCTCTCCCTTTGCATGTTGTTAGTTCTTGACCCCACTATCAACATTCCCTCCCCCCCTTACCCGTGTGTAAATATAGACATATTCTGGTCAACTGAGGACAGCACTTCGTGCCTCTGATCTGCGAAAGAGCATGCCACAATCAACTTGTCGGCTTTGTTTTTTGAAGGTGCTGCAAGCAGTTCTCAAGTGGGTTTTGCAGGGAGGTAGGTGGGCCCTTGCTGAAATCCCCAAGCCCCACTCCCTCTCACCTACTGATGGGTCAGTGCATCTGGCTGTTAACCAGAAAGTTGGTGGTTTGAGCCCACCCACCCAAAGGTGGAGCCCTGCATTGCAGGGGGTTGGACTAGATGACCATTGGGGTCCCTTCCAACTCTACAATTCTGTGATTCTGTGTTCCATCTGCCACAGCCTTTGCAATGCAGCAGTGGATTAAAGGCCTGCAGGTAGGTGTTTTTCAGACATTCAAGTTGATAGGGGTTGGGGCTACATTCATAAGAACAGCCTTTGCCAAGCTGGTGCCCTCCACATGTTCCCATCAGCCCCGGGTTTATTAGGGAATGCATTGTGTTAAAGGGATGGGGAGCCAGTTGCGGCAATCTCACTCTCCCCAAAAAACTGTACTGAATTTGAGGTCCCAAAAAGAGCTGCTATTCTGCGCACATGTCCCTATTTGTATCTCCCTTCTGTTCTCCTGAGTCTTAAGAGAGTTTTGACTGAAATACTTAAGGAGGCATCATTTAAAACAGGGATGGTAAAACCCCTGACCCATGGGCCTCCTCCCCTCCCCACAACACACAGCCATATTAAGGTCTCCTAAGACCTCCCCAAAATTTAGTTGAATTAATAGTAGCCATTAATTATAATTTAAGTTAAATCGTTTTAATTAATATACACGGGGCTGCAAAATCCCACTCACTCCCCCCCCATTTCTGCAAAGTGAACCCCCTTGAGCATAAAAAGGTTAGCCACCCCTGATTTAAAATATTGACACCCACTCAGCATTTTCTCATAGGCTTCAATGTGGTCTATATCAACCAGCCACAGGGCATGAGAGGGGTGGACTGGCGGTGGCACTGCATTCCCCAGAATGGGGATGAGGCAAGGCAGCAGTGAGGTCATGAGCCCCTTGGGCTTGCTGATCAGCAGGTTGGTGGTTCGAATCCCTGTGACGGGGAGCTCCCGTTGCTCGGTCCCTGCTCCTGGCAACCTAGCAGTTCGAAAGCACGCCAGTGCAAGTAGATAAATAGGTACTGCTGTGGCAGGAAGGTAAATGGTGTTTCCGTGCGCTCTGGTTTCCGTCACGGTTTTCCGTTGTGCCAGAAGTGGTTTAGTTATGCTGGCCACATGACCCGGAAAGCTGTCTGTGGACAAACGCCGGATCCCTCAGCCTGAAGCGAGATGAGCGCCGCACCCTATAGTCGCCTTTGCCGGAACTCAACCATCCGGGAGTCCTTTACCTTTTACCTTTTTAGTGCTCTGCCATTCATGCAGCGTTCCTGCTTCCAACAAAATGAAGCAAAGCACAATGAAAACGGCAATGGTTATAAAAGGAACAAACAACAGTAAAAGCCAAGGGCAGGCAGAAGCATCATAAAACATCATTAAATGCCACATGTGTCAGTGAGGGTGGTGGTGGGAACTAATGTAAAAAAACAAAGAAGGATTGTGTAGAACTATAGAAGGATTTTGTATTCTGTTTCTAGATCCATCTCGTCAAACCCCCTGCAATGGGGGAATCTCAACAAGAAGTCCCCCATACAATTTGAAACCATACCAGACCCTGTTTAGCTTTGCAAATGTGCCAGCAGATTTATTGCTGCACCACTAGGAGGATAGCCTAGGTCAGGCATCCCCAAACTCGGCCCTTCAGATATTTTGGGACTACAGTTCCCATCATCCTTGACCACTGGTCCTGTTAGCTAGGGGTGATGGGAGTTGTAGTCCCAAAACATCTGGAGGGCCAAGTTTGGGGACGCCCGGCCTAGATTATGGGTGTGAAACCTCTGGTCCACTGGGAGTCAAATCAGGCCTGTGAGGCCATCACTCTAATACACAGGGCATGATGCCAGCTGGTGGGCAGGGTTTGATACTGTGCTGGGAACTGGCACATGCGGCTAAAGCAGCAGAATTTAACCTCCGGCTAATCTGCCAATTCTAGATGAACACTGCTATCTCTACTGTGCTCAGCTTGATTTGATGCCTCTCCCCACTCGGCTCGCTGGAAGCAAAAGAGCACAGGGCTCCTGTGCCTTTAATAGCTACAACGGCTAAAATCCCCTTATCTACACAATTCTTAAAGGTGCAGGAGCAACTTGGCCACACACAGAGCCAGCCTTGATTCAGAGTTATTGCTTGTGCATATAGGGACTCTGATGTGCACATACGGATCCCATGAGCTTTGGATTGGTCTGACTGTGGGAAACTAATTGTTGCCATGAAGGTAGTCTCTGATGTGACAATCTTCTTTCGGACAGAAGAGTGACGGCGATTATTTATTCAACGGGTTTCGGCAATGCCACCAGACTATTTAGGGCATGTTCCTTTCCCAGCAAGGTCACTCTGTCCTGCTGACCCTGCCAAAGGCTGCTTTCCCAGTGCTGGCTCCCGGCCCACTGGTGGAAAGAGACGCCAGGTGGCCTCAGTCCATACTGCTACCGATTCCTGCACAAGCCATGCTGTCTAGTAGCTGCAGAGAGCAACATGGCTCCCAAAAACACTGCCCATCCCGTTCACCTTGGGCCTGGAGTCACCTGACTCAGCACTAAGAGCAGCAACAACGGCTCCTGGATCTGACTTTGATACTGAAATCTGAGTTGTGTTGGGGGGCTAAGTATCGCATGGAATGTGGTCTGTGTTACATTCAATAATGTCAGCTTTCTCAAAATTATGCTTAGAGTTGTCTGCCTCACCTTAATGTTCTGCAACTTCTGCAATGCACCAGAGACAGGAACGGCTGAACACATTTTGCCACCTGAGGCAAATCAGAAAATAGTGCACCCACCCTAGGAATCATAGTTTGTTAAGCATATATAATAATAATAATTTATTATTTGTACCCCGCCCATCTGGCTGGGTTTCCCCAGCCACTCTGGGCGGCTTCCAACAAAGATTAAAAATACATTAAAATGTCACATGTTAAAAACTTTCCTGAACAGGGCTGCCTTCAGATGCCTTCTAAAAGTCAGATAGTTGTTTATTTCCTTGACATCTGATGGGAGGGCGTTCCGCAGGGCGGGTGCCACTACCGAGAAGGCCCTCTGCCTGGTTCCCTGTAGCTTTGCTTCTCACAGTGAGGGAACTGCCAGAAGGCCCTTGGCGCTGGACCTCAGCGTCCGGGCAGAACGATGGGGGTGGAAATGCTCCTTCAGGTATACTGGGCTGAGGACATTTAGGGCTTTAAAGGTCAGCAACAACACTTTGAATTGTGCTCGGAAACGTACTGGGAGCCAATGTAGGTCTTTCAATGAGGGTGCTTCATGAGAAGCAGCAAGAGCTCTGAGCGGAGAATGGCACACCCAAGCCAGTGGCCAAGGGTGGCAAACAGGAAGAGCAGTGGCTGGGGGCTGTGCACTCTGCCACTGCCCTGTGTTGGCCTCCGTGGGGAACCCATGACCTGAGGTGACTGAAGACAGCCTGGGGGGCCACCGGCCTCAGAGGCCTGCCCAGGAGGGCAGCAACAAGTTCCTCATAGTGCTGCATTCACAGCCAAAGGAGAAGTGGCAAAGGTGCATGAGGACACCCAACTTCTTCTTCTGCCACCCCTCTCATCTGTCCCCAGCCTGCTGCACTGCTTGAAGTGACTGTCTCAGCAACCAGGTAACCTGGATAACCAATAGAGTTGGGGAACCCAAGGTTTAGAGGCCATGTATCATGGTCCGGTCTACGGGTGATCGAAGTCCCGGCTGAGGACGTCGGGACCAGGGGCAAGATGGCGGGGAGGGAGCAGGAGAGCCCAGAAGCCAGGGGTCTGAGGGTCAGGAAGCAGGGAGTCACGAAGTCAAGGGTCCGAGGGTTGAGAAGCAAGGTCTGAGGATCAGAAAGCAAGAAGCCAAAGGCAGGAAATGAGTTGCTGTGGCAAAGAGCCAAAGAGAAATGCTGACCTTGTATCCCTTCCCAGCTCTTGCCACCAGGTGCAGTGAGTTACCAAGTGGCCTCATCTGTGCGGCCGCGCCTTGCCTCTCCTGAACAAATTTAGGAAGGCCCCAGTCCTGCAAAGCCCTACTGGTCACAGGGCCTGGCTCCTGCACACACTCCTGACACCATGTGTCTTGCATATCTGGCCTTGAGGTGTGTGGCC